AGAAAATCCTTTCAGACGAAAAGTTTAAATTTACCCTGTTGCCCAAACTGAAAGAAAAAATCAACGATAGACCCATAACTAATGTAAGCAGTGATCCGAGGGACCCACCCCACTCACGCCAAAAAATGTTTTTTTTAAAGAAGTCTAATTTTCCCTTTTTTACCAAATCGGGGATTTTTTTAAAAAAGACAAATTTTAGTAAGATGGTGGGGGAAAAAATCCAATTTTGCACTATTTGGAAAAAGATGGGTAAAAAAGTTTTTTACCAACCCCACAAGCCAGGGAGAAAAGGCAAAAAAAAGAGCGTAATGTAGATGACATTTTGCCCTTTTGGTAGGGCAATAGTGTTCCCAAGAGGCAAATGGGGCCCCAGGCGAAAGGGGAACCGAAGTTTAAAGGGGGGGGGGGGGCATAAACCCTTTAAAAGTAAAATTTTAAAAAGGGACTCAGCTATGATAAGGCCAATCACAAAGTTGTTGCCTTTTAGAAACTGTTCAGACTTAATTATTGTATTACGCTGAAAATATTTCCCACAAGATTTTAATGTTAATGGTTTAAAGGATCTACATTACTGTGTTATAGAATGATTGTTTTTAACATTAGCAAGTACTTAATAAATGCATATTTATTTGCAATTATATCATTCTAATGAACATGTGAAGTTGCGTATGCAATTTACATTTTTGTATCGAATAATATAATTGTTAATTAGAACATAACATGATTTTGATGAAACTTAAATATTGTCCATGGAGGGCACTGTAAGAATTTTATTACCGATTCTAATTAAAATATAATATATATCTTACGTTAAGCGTTGTTTGGCGCCAACTTATTTAACGTTACGCGCTGAATAGTTTAGCGCGTCATTTTGACGAAATTGTTGTTATTGAATTTTTAAAGGTAACTTCCGTTATATGTAGCAGCCGTTAAACGTTAAGCTGATAACCTATTTTTAAACGGTTTTCATGTGAAAAGACATTATAGTCGGTATGATAGCTGCTTAAAGTATTTTGATTTATTTATTTGTTAAACGATATAAAGAATTTTCTAATGAAGTATTTATTAATTTTAATCAATTGTTACGATTATTTATCTTTATGGATTTTAACTGTACTTCTGTTTACTAAGATTTCTTCGTCATAGGAAATAATTATTTAATTATTCTATTCTATTATTTATTTGTTAAGTTTATATCAGAAATGAATGTATTAGTTAATTACTTTATCATTTGTTTCAGAGAATCGCTTTGTTTATGCTGATGTGTAAAAATAAAAGATATATAGAAGCGCATACTCGAAAAGTCTAGTTGTTATCCGAAATCCTTTACACCATCTATAAAACGACATCACCATTTATCCAAAGGACATCACGACTTGATAAGAGTGAATATAAGGCAGCTATGGCGTTCCATACAAAATGCCCTATTTAAGCCATAGACACTGTTTTTCGTTTGAGAAATGTTTTTAAAAAGTGACCATATTTTCGGCGCCGCCCCATCAAAATGGTACATCAAGGGGTTGTCAGAAAGGGGGTGTGCCCCCTTCTGTTTGGGGGGGGGGCGGCGGGTTGAAAAGGGCGGGCAGCTTCCCCCCTCATCACCAAAGAAAAGTTTGGACATGTGTACAGGCTTAAATGGCCTCAGGTCGAGATCGTAAGGTAACGTGTAACCAACGCTGAAAAAGCCTTTTGCTCTATCTCAATCCATTGAGAAGTTGCAAGCACTTTGAAATCAGTTTGATGGGGAAAAAAAACAAATGCAAATTAGTGATTTTTGGCAATTTTGAGACGTTCCCCTTTGCCAATTTACAGGAATTTAAGATTGAAGCAAATGCTGTTACATGTACAGAGGCTTATTGTCCAGTCAACATTTGTGCAATTTTCATCAGTATCGCAGCATTTTTCATAGTTCCATAGCAATTTGAACTTTTAACAGGAGGCTTTTCAATGAAAACGGGCCATTTTTGGGACAATTTTCCTCTTCAAGAAAAGGGTTAAATGTTTTTCTCTGAGATTAAATAAAAAAAAATTAAAGTTTTTAAATGTTTAACTGGTGGAAAACAAGGGAAGCATTTTTGAAAAAAACCTTGGAATGGGTAACTTGTGGACAATGTTTTGAAAATGAAAAAAATCCCGCCTGATTTTGTCTGCAAATTATCTATGCAGGCAATGAAATACTTGGGATAAATAAAAACAGTCAAGATTTGATGAAGCTTCAGATAAGAAGTGTATAGAATTTGGCGAAAAATCGTCTCCATTTTTTTAAAATAACCAATCGAAATGTTCTGATAAACAAACAGGTCATCTATAAATAGTTCATCATCATCGTAATAAAAATCACAGAACCATGGCATCAAAAATAGTATCACCATGTATAAAAAGAACATCACCACATAGCAAAATAGTATAACCATTTATAAAAAGAACATCACCATATATCAAAATAGTATTAACCATTTATAAAAACAACATCACCATACAATCAAAATAGTATCACACCATTATAAAAAAACAACCATCACCCTTTAAATATGGCAAAATTACAGCACCATTTATAAAAAACAACAGCACCATATATAAAATGACACCACAGCAGGTACCAAAGTGACACCACCCATATATCAAAACGAGCTTCACACCATTTATCATTACTGAGCACCAATGTATCAAAACAACAGCACCATATATATAATAACATCACCAATAATCAAAATGACACAAAACCAGCTAACAAAACCACAGCCCCCATCTGTCAAAACGACATCACCATTTATCAAAACCACAGCACCATTTATTAAATCCAACAGCAGCATTTATTTAAACTACAGTACCACCTGTCAAAACGACATCACCATTTAATCAAAAACCACAGCACTATTTACTTAAACTACAGCACCATCTGTCAAAACGACATCACCATCTATCAAAACCACAGCACACATTTATTAAATCCACAGCACCATTTATTTAAACTACAGCACACAATCTGTCAAAAAAGACATCACCATTTATCAAAACCACAGCACCATTTACTTAAACACAAGCACCATCTGTCAAAACGACATCACCATTTATTCAAAAACCACAGCACCATTTACTCAAACTACAGCACCATCTGTCAAAACGACATCACCATTTATCAAAAACCACAGCACCATTTATTAAATCCACAGCACCATTTTTTTTAAACTACAGCACCATCGGTCAAAACGATATCACCTTTATCAAAACCACAGCCCCATTTACTTAAACTACAGCACCATCTGTCAAAAACGACATCCACCATTTATCAAAACCACAGCACCGTTTATTAAATCCACAGCACCATTATTTAAACTACAACACATCTGTCAAAAACGACATCACCATTTATCAAAACCACAGCACCATTTACTTAAACTACAGGACCATCTATCACAACTACATCACCATTTATTAAAACCACATAACCATTTATCAGAACCACAACACTATCTGTCAAAAGGACATGACCACTTAAGAAGTGTTTATATAAGGCAGCTATGGCGTTCCATAGAATATTATTAAGTTACATGGTATCTGGAACTTTAAGATTTGATCTTTGACTAAATAATCCCACAGGAACTGGTGTTATGTCATATAATTGTATACATTGTATACAATTTAATGGTATCCGTGGTCGAGGTGTTAGAGTCGATGACTTATATACAGTCAAAACAACACTATATTATGTAGAATCGTCTTTACATAGAGTCAACTTAACAATATATCATGTAAATGTGTCCTTATATCATGTCAATCTTTCATTATACGATGTGCATTAATAGATATATTATGTAGAACCATTCTTATATAGAGTCAAAACAAAAGTATATTATGTTGATCTGTTTTTATATGATGTCAGTCTTAAATTATATGATGTGCAATTACGAATATATTATGTGGAACTATTTTTATATACAGTCAAAACAACACTATCGTCTTTATATATAGTCAACTTAACAATTCGTCAGCAGTTTAGAACCGCCCGGGGTTCCCTCAAGTCTTGAGATTTTATCACGTGTACTTCAACTGTTGGTATATAGACAGTCCCCGCCACGAACGTTGCACTGTGAGATATAACCCGGTAAATTTAACCCCATCAGTATAATGACAGCGGTCATATAATAATAGATTTACATCGTATAATGAAAGATTGACAATATATTGATATAAAGTTGACTCTATATAATGATGCTAACACATTAATATATTCATCAATGCACATCGTATAATAATAGATTCACGTATAATGAAAGTTTGGCATCATATGTTGATAAGTTGACTCTATGTTATGATGCTAGCACGTAATATATTCATAAATGCACATCGTATAATAATAGATTCACATCGTATAATGAAAGATGGACATCATATATTGATAAGTTGACTGTATATAATGATGCTACCACATAGCATTCTCATAAATGCACATCGTATGATAATAAATATACATCGTATAATGAAAGATTGACATAATATATTGATAAGATGATATTATAAAATGATGCTACCACATAATATATTCATATAACATTGTATAATGATTGGTCGACATCATATAAAGACACGTTGACATCATATATTGTTCAGTGGATTTCATATAAGGATGCATCCACATAATATATTCACGAGTTGTGCACATTGTATAAAGAAAGAGTGACACAACAGCGTTCATTTTAATAATCATAAGACGGTCAAGGCTTTCCATTATTCTCGGTGAACCTTTACTAATGAGGTTTGTCATGCCATAGATAAATCTGCATTTATTAAGTACACATTGTCTTCGATTGCTTATTAAGGGCAAATTCCACAATTGTTCTATTTGTAAATCAATGTTAGATGTTTATTAAACAACCATTAGTCAACAATACCCATGGGGATTGAGTAAGAAATCGACCGTCTATATCGCATTCCTATTTGATTCGGTTGTGGCAGTAAATTGGGCATTATGTACAGGTGTATTGTTTCCTTGGACAGCAATGGAGAAGGTTGAGATTGAATATATAAGACTGAATATTGGAGGCACAATATTCAAATGTTACAGGAAAACTTTAAGTACATTTCAAGAATCAAAGCTGCATAACCTTGATAAAGACAAAGATGATTTTGATAGTGAACACAATGAATTTTATTTTGACCGAAATCCTTTGTTGTTTGCCTATATTATTGATGCCTGTCGTAAAGGAGCTATTCATCTACCAAAAGACATTTGCGGGACTACTTTTAAACAGGAACTGGAATTTTGGAATATTCCACTAGACAAAGTTGCTCCTTGTTGTCTAGAAACTTTATATCGAAGCAAAGATGACATCGACACAATTGAAACGTTGATAACACACGAGGAACAGACGTCTGTAATTGAATTAAAACAAGAGCGAGAGAAAATAAGTTTTCAAACGAGACTTTGGTTGTTTCTGGATGATCCAAGTTCGTCAAAATTGGCGCAGGTATTATACGTTGCACTGTGTGATTTCTTTATAACAGGTTAAACTAGCACTTTATGCCTGTCGTTTTTAACTTACCAATAAAATACAATCTTTTTATTTTTTGTTGTGTGATATACTATAGGTTCAGACAAAAAACGCAAACAGCGAGTTTGTATTTTAAAATTTTTAATCAATGTGCTTGTTGTATGCCATGCTGATAATAAATGCGGTGATAATGATCTTTTCATGATACATGCACCAATACAATAGATTTTTGTATTGAAACTTAAGTTAGGCGGATGATCGAGTTACAGGTATTTTGTTATTAATGTCGGTTTATAGAGGCATTTATTTTTCTTTCTCATTTTGCAAGTATTTACTAAACTTTTAACTATTAATTAGCAACAAAAATGTTTATCCCTTGTTTTACATTTTCAGTAGAATAAATAGTGTTACTATCTTTTAAACAGGTATGGAATACAGTTATGTCTCTACTTGTTGTTGTATCTACATTCATAGATGTGCTATCAACAGTATCAGCGTTTCAACAAAATTTCACAGAGGCTGAAATCAGGTCTTTAGAGAAAGTTTCAGGTCTACTAAGTCAGGGTAACAAAACAATGGAGAAGCTTGTAACAATGAAACCAAAAGATTATCTCTTCTACATCATTGTTGCATGTCATGTAGTTTTAACGTTAGAGTTTTTGCTGTGTTTCATAGCATGTAAAAATAAAAGGTCTTACATGCTTTGTTTCATACGTATGAGCACCTTAGTTGGGTATACTTCATTCTGGATTATGTATGCTCTCTATATTAACCTCGCATACATTGAATCGTGGATCGTTATTACAGTTTACTTATTCCTCTCTTATTTACAAATCGCAAAAATCGCAAGATTGTTTTATTTTACCAAACGTATACCAGCATTTGCAATTATGGGGTTAACCTTTAGGTCGTCTATTCATGAATTTAAGATTCTGGCGTTCTTATTGGGTATTCTAGTTACTATTTTCGGCTACTTCTTCTATGCAGCCGAGGTCTTTTATAATCCTAAAATGTCTAGCATACTTGAAGGAATTTATTGGGCTTTGATTACTGTGACGACCGTGGGATACGGTGACTACGTTCCGAAAACTGCTTTCGGTCACGTGATTGCCTCTGCCTGCGCAGTGGTTGGTATACTGGTTCTTGCACTGCCCGTTGGTATAATAGCTTCCAATTTCTACAAATTCTACAACTATCATGGGTACTCTAAGAAGCACATAGAAGCTATGAGGGAAAACCATTCCGACAAAAATTTAACACGACTGTAATCAATAACTTATCCTAGTAGCTAAACTTGTGTTTGATTACTTTCGTCATAACAGTTTTGCAGAACCATTCCAACGCTACACATATTGATTACGAAATAAAAACGCCATTTTCGGTCCAGTCTGAAAAGATTAATTCAAAATTTTGCAGCTATATTATTTTTCTTTTTTATTAAAAAACCATGGAAGTAACAACATATAGTTTTTAACTTATGCAGGAACTTGAGAACAAAATCAAGTGTAAATAATCCCGAGAAAAATTGATAGTTAAATATAAATTTGTGACACTATACCGTCAGGTGTTAAGTCTGTGCCTCGGGCAGCTATGTTTTTCATCGATTTTGCCAGTAACGGTTTAGAAGTTGCAATTTAATGAAGATTACTAAATCAACAGATTTTGTGCATTGAGAAATTGTGCATTTTGATAGTACGTTATATAATTGTTAAATAAAATTTTGTATTGAATTAGTTTCATGTTCCTTTTCAAGTTCAGTGGTTTTCCCAAGGGAAAAAGTACTGTTTCTATTAGGACAATGATATATATTGATATTGTAAAAGTCTCATCAACAATAGCATCATGGGTGTCTCTAGCGAATTGGATATATATCTGCCTGGAGGCTAATTTTGTTGCCATTTCTCTTGATGTACTAAATTATTGAAACATACCTACAAATTTCTGCTATATAGTAACGCATTAAGTTGATCTTACCATTAGCAATTTAACCAAATGATAGTTGTCAATCTTTCGATTATTTTCTCTCATAGCTATGTGCACATTGATTTACATTTGGCATATATATTGATAATGGAAAAAAAAAACAATAATTATTATTGATTGTGAGTTTAAATTCACAGAAAACGGAAATAATATTAAGCAACAGAGTCGATCAATAACTACAAATAATATCACTTAAACCTGATGAAAATGGAAAACATATTTATATATCTTTAGATATTCTTTATAGATCCAGGTAATAAGAAAAGATTTTAAATTGGGTTTGCCCTTTTTTTTCCAAATTTTTATTTTTTATAATTTTTATAATTGATTTTTACAAAAAATTGAGTGGCGTGTATTTTTGTCATAAATTCAGAAATAATGAATTTAAAGTATATTGAAAAATAAAATGAAATTTGAATTCCAATTATAAATTATAAAAATTTTTAAAGTTTCCAACAAGTTTATAAAAATTTTTATGACGTTTTAATTTTTTTGAAATAATAAAACATTGATTATTTAAAAATAAACTTTAACTTAAAATATGAAATATTTTAAAAAACATTGATGATTTTAAATTATTCATTTATGTTCGTATTTTCATTGTAAACATTTTGTTTTCATATTTTCCGTATTTTCACTGGTGTCTTGGCGGACTACTTTCTTCTAAATTCTGCCAATACACAAAGTTAAAAAGGATTTTTTCAAATTATAATGTTTAAAAAGAGAAAAGGTATATAATGAACATGAAAGTTTTTTTTCGATTGCTGCGGGATTTATTTTCACCCTTTTGAAAATTATCATATTTCACACTTAGTCTAGTGAATTATTTATTTTCATTCCACTCGATGAAAATGAATTTTGTATTTATAGAAAAAACTTGATAATTTGAATAACCTCTATATGTTCTGCTGTGAAATTGATCGGTCTTTATCACATTATTGATTATCAGTAAGGTTCCATTGAATGTAAAATATGTTATGAAATACATAATTAAAGTATATATCTTCATCCCTTGTCATATGTAAACAAATAATGAAACTAATGTAATATATTGTTTTGTTTGCTTTTTGCAATGTAAGGTACCTGTGATTGACCTTTTTTGTTACTGTTGTAGTTTTATTTAATGTTTCACGTGATGACGTAAATAAAATAGTACATGCAGTATAATCGTGACTTTGTCCTGTTTTGTTCCTTTCTACAGCTACTATGTTCATTTAAATGCTTTAGTTTAGGACAATTCTAGACATGCAAACTATTTCGCGTGCTATAAAAGATCTTGGGTGTTGAATAATAGTGTACAGTATGTAATTCAGATGCGCATTAATATACATTAAATGACGATTGCAGTAAGCCTATGTATTAATCTGCGCTGCACTGTTAAGTAACAAAAATGCGTAATACACGGAGAAGGCAATGAGAACAGCGACTGAAATGTTGTGAAATAAAACACGGTTATGGCCGTTTTTGTTGCTCCGCGCTATTTGTATTTACAATTTATCGTCAATTGACCCGATTTTTATCAATTAATTCCTTCGATTAACAGTTGAAAATAAATTTGGAATAAAAAATTCCTTCCGATTTCTATTCATATATTGGTTTACCCTTCGGAGATTCGCAGTATGTCTTATTTATGAATTAGAATGGGAACAAATTTTACGACTCCACCGCTGGGACGGCAGTATAAAAGACAAAACAAACAAATAAACTCAAATTCGGTAATTTATTTTTTACATTTGTATCTTCTACAGAAAATTATTAATTATTTTGAAGTACACAGTGGGTTATTATGTATTTAAATGATGTACATGAATTCGAAAGCCATGAATAAAATAATGACCTTAACATTGCAAAAGTCCGAAAATCTATTTAAAGAAGTAGGTTATATAATTAATGAAACTGTTATTCGTGTAAAAAACGAACTGGAAAATTTTCCAGGAAATGAAATGCAAACATATTCAAACAATAAATTGCACTTAAAAAATAGATAGGCCATTTTTACGAATTGTTATATCATAGTATCACATCCAATATTAACATTTGTCCCCTTTTGTTTTTGGTTTTCTTGGTTTCCTTGTATGTCCCTGGCTTTCATTTTTTTGGCCATTTTTAACCCGTCAGAAAAGAACGAACAGTTTTGTTCAACTTTTTAAAAGTCGTTTTTATGTTTACAGTTTAAACATTAATATAATATTAAAACCTAACTTGTTTTTGAAGTTTTTTGTTACCAAAATGGGACCCAATTTCCGAAAATTTGCTTTTTAAATGAAAAAAAACAACGTTTAAATTGGTAGTTTGATTTTAAATGTTTAAATTTTTTAATAATTTTAATTTGAAAAACAAAATTTCGTCCCGTTAAGAGTTTTAAAATGGTTTATTTTGTAAGGAATTAAAAAACTGGTGGGTTTGTTGGGCAGAAGAGTTTTTTTAAGAAATTCAAAAAAAAAAGTTGATTTGACCCAAAATAAAAATCAATACGTTTTTGTCGGTACCAAAGAAATTACCGGACAAAAAACTTGGAAATCTTCAATTTTAAAAAATTTAAATAATTATTCAAAAAAACCCCATTTATAGGAACTATGTAAAAATAATTTCTAAAACTATAGTTTGGTATTTATTAAATATTAAAAAAATTTTATATTTTTTTATAAAAAAGAAAAGTATCTTTAATTTTTTTTTGAATTTTAAATCTTCTGTCTTTAAATGGTTAGCAATAATTGAAAAAAGAACCATGTTGGGACATCTTTCATTTCACATTACATTTAAAGCAAGGTTTGTAGATCTTTTTTATTAATTTTCCATTACCAATAAGCATCAAGTAAACATAATTTGGGCCCTCTTTCCCAAAAAGACATTTCAAAACCCCAAAAGTAAAGTTTCAAATTTAAATTTAAATTTTCAAACTCCGGAAAATTACAATAGTAATAATAATGAAAAACCCTTCTAAAGTAAGGTAATTTTTGGTAGGTAATCTTTTAATTTTAAAAAAGCATTCTTGATTTTAATGCCTTTTCGCAAACATTTTTTTATTTAATAAAACCCAGGTAAATTTTTGAATATAATATAAAACAGCAAATTTCTTTCTTTCTAGAACAATGGATTAAAGGATTTTTTAAAAACAAACTTTTTTTTTGAAATTTTTGGCCATTTATCCTATTTCTATTTTTAAAGTTTTGAAATCTTTGGTAAACCTAAGATCCTTGGTTGAAAAGCAAACATTTTAAAATACGAATTTATTCCACCTAACTTTAAAAAAGTCCAAACTTTACATGGCAAGCCCCCCAAAGCCCCGTTTAGCCTGGTATGGGGAAAGGGAACCAAAAACTTACAAGACTTAAGTCCTTTTGGTTTAATCATACCCAACCCCGGGCACTCGCTCCCGGGTGGAATAAAAAATTTAAATTTCAACCGGGGCTTTTCGGATATCACAAGGGATAGTTTTTTCGCTTCACAAAATTATTTTTCAAAAAAAACCTTAATTGGGAAACCCTACTTTTGCCGGCAAAAAAACCGGGATTTGGTAATTAGCCCTAAGCTTTCCCCCGGGAAGAGTATTAAATAGGCAGACCCCTTTAAATACAATGAAAATGAAGGGCAGGTTTCTAAGCCCCGGGAAGGGTCAATTTTTTTCTTTCTTTTTTTGTATTTACAATTTAGTATCCCATGTTCCCTTTGTAAGGGATAAGGTTTTAAAAATAATTTTTTTTATATTATTTGGAACAATAGATAATATTAAATAAAAGTTATGTATTTTAAAGGGTTTAAACAAAAAACGGGTTTTCATTTTTTTATCGTCCCTCTTTTTTATAGGGGCTTTGAAACCGGCCTCTTTGGGTATAAGAAGGGGGAAGGCCCCTAAGTAGAAAAAAAGGGTCTCGGAAAGAATGGAATGGGTGGGGTGGGAACTATAAGTTTCCTAATTTTGGGGAACCATAATTTTCATGGGAAAGTCCCCAATGGTAAATAATGTTCTTCCGGGTAAATTTTGGGGAACACTTTAAATTTTAAATGTAGAAGATTTTTTAAATCCATTTCGAAATAAAGTGCTATAAATTAGCGATTCAAGTGAAAAGTTGTACAGTAAATTTGTTTATTTGCTAAAAGGGGTTTTTTAATTTAAAAAAAAATGAAAATTTTTGGTTTCAATTCTTTATTTTGATTCAAAATTTTTAAATCGTTAAATACTATCTAAAGTAGATAAATGATAACACATCGCCCAGTTCTACGTGGTCATACACTCCGAGCCAAACAAAGTTTGAAAAAGATTTAAAATAAAAATAAACAAATAAAATATTTGTAAAACCAAATGTTTATTATTCAGCGCTATATACAACTAGCACATGTTTGCTCTTCTTCAGTAAGACCCAGTTAATCGGGCACGTTATTTTGAATACCAAAATGACAAACATACTTATATTGTCATGTGATCAACTGATCATATCCGTGGTTGTATCAAAATTGTCAATTATTCTAAATTCTAAATGTGTTTAAATCACTGCAACCGAATGCCTCTGGTTGAATGTTGTTATCAGAATAGAACAGAACAGGTACTTTATTTTTGACTTGCACAATTATACATGTTATTACAGGTTCAATCAAACAAAAAATTTAGCTGTGTTATACATTATTCAGGTAGAACGTGTCTCACTGTTATTTAAGAGTTATGATTTTATACAAATCATATATTATCAATAATCTATGATTTACCATGTGGACAAATAGTAACCTTGCCGAAAAGATTAACATGTTTCCGGGCGTACTTTTGATAGTGATAAAATGTGTGAAACGACGACGCAATTATACCTATTGGTAGAGCAAGAGAAACAACTCCACAAACAGCACATGTTGCTGCGATCACATGACCAAAATCAGAGTTTGGGATATAATGGCCATACCCGACAGTGGTCAACGTAATCAATGCCCAGTACATTGCGGTGAACATATTATTGAATTGAGAATTTTGAGTAAATTCGACAACGTACATTACAGTGCCGAAAATACAAACTAACAAACATAGCATAAAGAGTAGAACTTTGAATTCGGGAATTGAAGATCGGAATGTCAAGCCCATGATATTGAAAGCTGGGACACACTTTGACAAGTAAAACAGACGTGCTAACATCAATATAACCAAGTGTTTGATCACAATATACGATATCATTTTTACAACAGTATCTAGTTTGGATAGATTCAATTCCATTATAAAGGAAATCCAAAATGCCATATAGCCAATTGCGACAGAAAGGCGCGTGAAACACTTGCTGAATGACTTTTTTTCCGGGCAGACGACAAAAGTTACCAATAACTCGAAAGTGAGTATGAAGTGAATTATAAAATCTGTGTAAACAAAAATTGGACTTCGTTTTGCAATCTTGTCGAAAGTTGCGTTGCTCAATTTGAAGACACTAGACATGCTCTTGATTACCTCCATTTCTGATTCCGTAAATTCAGCACAAAATTGTTTCAAAGTAGACATTGCCATGGATATAGTTGATAACACTATTAGAAGTGAAACAAATACTCCCCATACCTGCAAAAATTAAAAAAAAAAGCATAAAGTATGTGTACAGACAAGTGATTTCAAAAGTTTATTATTTCAGAAATTCACGACTTATTATTTCTAAATTAACCAAGCCTTTTTTAAGTGAGCGCTTTATATGTAAGTGATACATAAAATCTTTGCAAGGTAGTGTCTTTGCTTGAAGAAAATGGTAAAATGTACAGACATGTCATTAATATGGATCATGTAAAAAAAATAAACTTCTAATAGAATAGCATGTATTTTCCACCTAAAATATTTTCTGATTTCTGCTTTTATATAGTGTACATTAAGATTATTATGTGTAAATTATCTCGGTGTAAGCAAGCTTTTGTCATGTATAAAATTCAAAAAATATGTTAAACCTAGATTTAGGTCCTCTCGTCCGTCCTAGAATAAAAAAAGGCGTTTACTAAAATGTACACGAAAGGTTTAATGATTTGAATGTAAACATTTTCCATTCTTGTAGAATAAAAATACAGTTGAAGATGACTTCCGAATAAAGATCACATTGTAAATAAATGCAACTCTACAACTACCCTTAATCGATCAAACAAAACATTGTTACCTCCAAATAATGACCACTTATCTATAAGGGACATGTTTAGTCACTCCTTTGTTCACAGGTTTGACTATACATTATAAGTCAAATAGTAGTAACTTACATAAGCATATTTGGATGAATCTGGTTCGTCAAGAAAAAGCCATATCCTCTGCTTTAAGTCCACGTCCGGTTTAAGTAGAAGGCATGTATTCGTGTTTTGTTTGATATTTTGAATCAACTTCTGCATTGTTGATACGTCTTCCTCTGATTTATGTAAGGCTTCCCAACAACACGGAGCAACAAAACGCGGAGAAATCTTCCAAAATTCAAGCTCTTCTCTGAATGTTGTTCCACACATATCTTTAGGTAAATGTATCGACCCTTTTCTTGATGCGTTAAGAATATGGTAAAACGTTAATGGGTCTCTGTCGAAGAAATACTCATTTGTGTCTGCCACATAATGGTCGGCATTTTCGTCAAGATGTGCAAGAACAGAATCTGGAAATGTTTTAAGTGTTCCAGCATAACATTGGAAAATAGTCCCTCCTACATTCAATTTGATTATTCCTTTAGAATTAAAACTGACAGCCTGCTCCATGTTACCGTGTTGTGTCAACCTGTGCAAATTGCATGAAAATAAGTTACGTATTTATATAGCTATTAGTATTCCACCGAATTAATTTTTTTAATGAAAACTTCACAATGATAGCAACAAATCTTGTTAAATTTATACTTTCTAACAATACGTAATGAATTGTATGTTCTGAAACTGAAAAGAAGAAATGTTACCTAGACTTGTGATGTGAAACAATCACGTGAAATTATTTTAAATGTCATTACATATTGCATTTCTATATGTATCAGATTGTAAATCCCGAGGGCATTGAGACACATTCATTGCATTTGAGTGTTGGTTTTCTTTCCTTCTGTCACTTGAATAATATAAATATATATGAGTGTGAAATGAATTTTGCCTGATAAAATAAATTAAATATTCAACGCTTATCAATCAAACCTGAAGTGATATCACAGAAATATCCGGAGGATGATTCAATACAAACGTGCTAAAACGTATCATTGTATCCAAGTTTTGTACTTTGAACGAAATCATTCTTTACAGTCAGTGCGCGCGTGCGTTTGCGTGATTAATCTTGTGTGGTTTTTTGTTTTTTTATGTTGTTGTTGATTTGTTTTCTAAAATGGAAATAAAACATGTAACTTCAGTATATATGTTTATACCACAGACATCCTAAACGAGCATATCATTTACGCCGCAAAATGATAATTATAAAAAATAGACACTTACTTTCTATTCCTCGTCAAATGTGATCTTACAGTACTATAACGAAAAACACAACAGCTTTTATTAGATTGAAGCACTTATTTGTTCTATGTTACGTTTCCTTGTGTAAAAAATGTTAAGGATGAAAAACCAATAACTATTTTCAAACGTATGACATTATTGGTAACTAAGTTAATTCAAATAAATAAGATTAACGCTTCTGTTTAACTTGCACTCTCAGTTCAACGTAATATTCATGTTCTCTCTTGATTATATCAATTAATTCAGTTAGTTTTACCAGTCTCGCAGGAAATTTATATTATATCAAAGCATATTTGAAATAAAATAATTGCCTTTTATAAAAGACCATTCGTTGCCTTGTGCGTACCAAAAAATGTCCACTTTGTTTAATGAATGTTCATGGTGGTCTAAAGTAATGTTAATATTTTACAGATAAGAATTAGTAAATCGATTTTTAGGTTCATGTAATATAATCTACTTCAGATAATTAGTTTCGAAATTCCACAATTACCTAGAGAATTTAAGGTGACTCATGACTCAAAGATGCGTTTGGCTCAGATCTACTTTATTGTAGTTATCTGACAAAGTAGTTAAAAGAAACAGATCATTCTTAATATATACATATCAAATATTAAGCGATACAAGTTTTGAAGCTTTAGAAATACACCTCGTTAAGCTTTGTTTTATTGGAAAATTCAGACTGCATTTGTTGTATTTATTCATTGATATTAATCTTTTGGGACTTCATTGTGTAAGAGTTTGTGTGAATTTTAGTACAGTTAACTAGTCAACGGTTACCCTCCTAAATTCTGTACAGAAGGAATGCAATTGATTTAAACATACATGTATTTATTTAAGCTCGATTGCGAAACAAGTTCTTGCAACTTATATTAATCACGTTTGAGTCCGCTTCCTGCCAGTACTGGTGTCATATGAAGAAACATGGTCGTGACCCGAGTAGGGCTCGAACATATGATCTCTGGGTTGCGAGGCAGACACCTTAACCACTAGGCCACCGCTCCTCTTGTAGGGAAGGACTGCAATTGTTGTGTTGATGTAATTCAAGGTAATTCAATTAACGATTTCCATAATAAATATTGAGGAATCAGTGTGTTTGATTCTGGTATGGTAACTCAGTCAACACTTGTCATAAATATGGGAGGCTACCATTTAGTACCACTACAGTAACATCCAAATGTAGACATAAGGCATTTGCTATAAATACTGGTGCAAAATATTTTAAGGGGGATTCAGGTTTTAACTTTCGGCACATAGTAATGGAAATATTTAGTGACTTGTAAACCGTGTGTGAGAAAGAAAAACACAGTAGATTTAAGAATATATTGTAAATACGAAATCAGCGTTACAATAACTACACCGACTTAGTTACTATAGCCAAGATTCCCTCTAATAATTATGAGGAGCAAGTGGTTTGAAGCCGGCAACTTAATCAACTCTGCCACGTACGTAGACCACCCACAATGTAATTTGTATGAACTCCCCTCAAGTGCAAGTTATTTGAAACGGATGTCCACTGCGATATAATATGTTGCCCCTGTGAAGTCTATTCGGTTCAGATTTGTACATCTTCAATTTCATTTAAGTTACAATGAAATATTTTAGCTTTTAACATAGTCTTTACAGGCATGCACATGAACAGGCATGTTTCCCCTTTATTTAAACACATGCTTAATCCAAAAATACTTTTTTTTATAATTATTTCTAATTGTAATGATTTACAATAAAACAATTGTTTGTTACTATACAATTAACAACAACGCAACATGTAATGTATTTGCAAGACACGTAAAGGTAAAATATTGTATTTATAAGCTTTTTCTGTTAGTCTAAAATTCAAAAATACGACATAGGTGCCCTCTTGTTAAATAGTTTTCATTGGTTTCAAACCTACTTCTTCAAGCAGACTGTTGGATTCCGATGGAACAGTTTTGAATTCCTTTAATTGTGCAGGCAATAGTTCTTTATATCGTGAATGCATCTTTATGTACTTATAAAAGTTATAGTACTTGTAAAATTTCGATACGATTATTCCAACAGGCAAGGCGATAACAAGCACTCCACACACTGCGCATGCTCCAGCAACCACATGACCAACAACTGTACTTGGAACATAATTACCATAGCCAACCGTCGTCAATGTAATCAACGCCCAGTAGATGGCAGTAAATATGTTGTCTATATTAGAATCATGCAACAGTTCAGCGGCAAATAGAGTATAGCCAAACACGCAAACGAGAATTCCAAGGAGGAAAACTAAAATTGTCAGCTCTTGTTTAGACGAAGCAAATGTTAAACATATTAGTCGGAAAGCAGGTACTCTTTTTGTGAGATAGAATAGTCGAGCAATTTTGAAAATGGATAGGTAGCCAAACATCAGCTGTATCATTAACACATTGACAGATCCAATATATTTTACATTAAAATAAATTGTAAAAGAAATCCAATAAGACATATATCCAAAGCAGCTCACAAGTCGCATAAAGCAAACAAATGCCCTTTTGTTTCGGCAGACGACAAAGCTCAGCACAAGTTCGACTGTCAAGATAGTATGGAATATTGCATTTGTGTATAAAAGAAATGTAAGTGGTTTAATAGATGCTAGTTTCTCTATTGTTGAGTTTTTGAAGTTCAATGCGTCTGCAAACTTTGTCAGAAGTTTCATCTGTTTCTCCGAGAAATTTTCTTGAAACATTTTCACTGTTGACAGGCAATCTGCAAACAAGGCTGCCAGTATGATAACAGATATGAATATACTCCAAACCTGAAATAATTGATGTTTACTGTAGAACAAACGTCAATAAAAACGTTATGTATATAGAGGATATTGAATGAGTGTAGTTTAATACTAAATTTATTGAACGAGTTGAATAAAATTATATTATGCGAGCCTCTGGCGAGCATAATATTGTTGTATTCAACGAGTTCAATAAATTTAGTATTGAATCTACACGAATATAATATTCTACTTATCACATATATTAGATAAGGACAATAAAATGTTAAAATGAGTAATTTTTCAATGACGCGCTTATACAGTAGTGTAACGCTAACATGCTATGTTTCTATATAGCGCAAATGACGTCACGCCAAAGTGTTATTACACTAGTGTAATATCGTTTTTATTAAATGGCTTTATTACACTCCTGCGCCGCGGTTTATGTGATAAAATTGTTTATTTTGGATGCTGACTAGCAAAAAAAACAAGAATAAAAATCAACAAAGCAAAGGCAACGTTCACAGGACGCGGCCCCCGACACACCCAAGCATGGCACGCAGAAGGCACCAAACAAAAACCCGGAGCGGACACAAGGGTGAAGCCCGTTTCAATTAATTCATTCTTATTTATGTATGGAAATCTTTTGAAACATTTAAATATCGTGATACTGGTATTCTTTACAAAACCAAAAGCAGGTTACTTATTTTGATGAATTAACTGTTAGTATAAATCAATAATTTTGGTTGACAAAGTGTAACATTTGAAGCATGTTTTCACACCAGATCGTGCATTTCCTTACCAAAGCAGATCTAGAAGATTTCGGCTCTTCTAAAAACAACCACACTTTTGTTCTGAAGTCTCTTTTGTCTTGAGCTCTCAAGGTTGAGATTGGTGATTGCTTAAAACGTTTATTTAGTAAGTCCACTGTTTCAATGACATCTTCACTTCCATAAAGCGCCTCCCAGCAACACGGAGCAACATGGTGCGGAGGAATTTCCCAAAAATCCAGTTCTTCTTTGAAAGAAGTTCCGCAAATATCCTTTGGCAAATGAACAGCCTTTTTCCGGAATGAATCGACAATGAAAGAGAATAAGATTGGATTTCTGTCAAAAAAGTATTCGTTTTCTTCAGAATCAAATGAATCCTGTTCTTTGTCAAGATTTGCAAGTTTTGATTCCGGAAATGTTGAAAGCGTTCTCTCATAGCACTTAAATGTATTACCCCCAATATTAAATCGAACGATTTTCTTATTATTTATAAATTGTTCCATTTTGTTCCAAATACCGTTCTTCTACAATATATGGTTTAGCAACTGAAACAGGCAAATATATAATGTTTTGTCTTATTATGTTCATAGTTCACACTTAATTCCCCAAAGAATATAGCTTTATTATGACTATATTCTGTGACAGTTGCTCTTATGCATCATGAATGATAAGAGCATACATAATTCAAACGATTTCAATATTTATTTCTGCTGGGAAATACAACAGAAGTGATTCCAAGTAAAATATATTATTTATATAACTGTAAACAATTTCAGCCACCTCGACAGATAATCAATATCCGTCTGGTATTTTTTTAAATATTGTCATAAAATGAAGCGCGTCACGACAAAAACAACATAATGAGTTTGCGACCAGCATGGATCTAGACCAGCCTGCGCATCCGCGCAGTCTGATCAGGATCCATGCTGTTCGCTATCAGTTTCTCTACTTGTTATAGGGTTTGTAAGCGAACAGCATGGATCCTGATCAGACTGCGCGGATGCGCAGACTAGTCTGGATCCATGCTGGTCGCAAACCAATTATGCTGGTTTTGTCGTGACACGGCTCAAATGATACATGTCAGAAATATGCTAACTATAAACATTTTTATCCTTTAACTTTATATCCAGTGAATTTATGATTCTTTTAATTCATTTAATTTTTTTATGGCCGTTTTTTATTATTTTTATTGTTGGTTAATATTTTGTTTTAATTCTTTAAACATATCTTGTATTAAAACCACCTTGAAACAATAACACATGCCTTTGGTCCACCTATCACCTTTCCTGGTTTGAATGAAAGGCTCCTAAATGGCTGAATTCTTAAGGGCAGTAAGAACACACATTAGACGGTAAAAGCTGTTAACTCTGCTTGACTGAAACAATTGAAGTTGACATTTATATGATGATGTTTATGCTCGTTATGTTTCTTATTTTCACATTCGTAAGTACTTACGATAATACAGGTGCATCCAACTTTTTTTAACTAAAGTCTTAATTTTTTTTGTAATGACGATATTTTAAAAGTATGTCTCTTAACCCATTGCTTCATGAGCATTTTGTGAAAAATGGCTGTTTTCACTAAAAAGTCTCCCGTTACAAAATCAAATTGCTATAAAACTATAAAAAATGCTTCAATACTAATCAAACTTGGCACAAATGTTGACTGGACCATTGCTTTTGCAACAATATGCTCAGGCTTAAATTTCCTGTTACCATGGCAATGAGGGGACATCTCAAAATTGCCAAAAATCACTATTTTGCTTTGATTTTTTTCCATCAAAATTGATTTCAAAGTGCTGCAACTTCTCATTTGATTTGAATAGAGTCAAATGTTTTTCAGCGTTGGTTACACGTTACCTTATGATCGATCCGGTGTCATTTTTAGCTTCTTACAAGTTCAAAATTTTCTTGGCGATGAGGGGGACTCACGTTTTCGTACTCAATTGTTTCATCTTATACAATAATCAATTAAAATAGTAAACTGTTATTGATCATGTGCTTATTGAACCAATAATGTTTAAATGCAAGTAAAGTGGACTTGTCAATATGTGTAGGAAGTGACTTCAAACATACGATTATAACAAGCAATTTTCAAAGAACTGCATGCAATAAAAAAGTCCCCTAACGATTAGAACTCCCAAGGAAGTATGTCAGTAATCTCCCTAATTAATGTCTAACAGATGTATTGCTACTATTGCAATATTTTAAGTCTAATTGTTGTCATGGCAACCAGATATTTAACATGGGAAGGAAAAAAAAAACAAGACAACCGCATGAGGTGTTAAGGCTCATCTGTAAAGGGCCAATACTATCAATTATAAGCATTTTTTTGAAAATATTATAACTTTAAAAGGGGGATAACTTTTGAAAGTATAGGTTTCAGAATAATGTTCATTGTCTTACAACTGTGCTTTGTCTCACAATCAAGTTACAAGTTTATAGCTTTGTTATATAGAAATCACCCTACGAATAATAAGCAATTTTATGTTAAAAAGTGACATATCTTCAAAACTATAGCTTTCAGAATAATGCCCATTATCTTTCAACTGTGCCTTGCTTTGACAAACAAGAATTCAAAGATTCATGTTTCATACTTTCGAAAACATTATACTTGATAGGTAATTTGGACAAAAATTCTAGATTAAAATGGGTCATAACTCTAATATATATTGATTTCAAAATAATGACCCTTCTTTATCAACTTTTCCTTGTCATATTCATCAAGTGTTCCATGTTCCATACTTGACATACAACTGCCTCTTATCATTATAAGGAAGCATTCCAGTGACTGATTGGCGATATTTAAGATTTTACACGACAACAACAACAATGACGCCCAGCGATCATATCAACTCCACTTTTCTTCGAACCAGACAAATTAAAACTGATGTACATAATATTCATGCGACCATCTATCCAAACTTTTAGTCCAATGTGTTTTAAACAAGGGACACTTTATACAAAAAGAAACCCATTTTTAAGTACAATTTCTTGTCTGTACTGTTTCTGCAATTATGCAATTACATAAACACAACTCAAAAAAAGAAAAGGAATTAAGACTTAGGAAAGTAAAATTTTGAATAAAATTTCCAAATTATTTGCCAATTCGCTTGCATTGACCTGTTTATTTCTGGTCTTCATCCTTGCCATATATAATTACCTAATTATAATGCAAAATTGCCAGCATTAAGCCCCGGTTAACAAATTTATACCCGATATTTCAAATATCCTGGAGTTCTTGTGATAACTTTGAAGACGTCCTTAAGTTCTTATGGTAAATGATAACTTTTGTTACTGCCAGTGTGTTTCTTGCGCTAAATCACAAAAGTTTTCCGACAAACTTTGTGACAGTTATCACAAGAACTCCTGACAAGTTATCATAAGAACTCCATCCTTCATGTAACAGTTCTTCCCCCGTGTTCTGGGTTATATTTATTGTGACGGCAGAGAAAGGGATATTGATAGAAATATCATATTCAGATGCCAGTTCAGTGGTTTCATTTTTCTGGGATTTATATTGTAATAACAGGGAACGTGTATTATTTTGGCCTATGATACAAAAGAGAAAGAACATCAAAATCAGAACAAATCAGATAGCCTCGTGTATTGATGCTTTTTTTATTACGCGGATTTCACGGGGAAGAACTATTACACGAAGGATTGAGTTCTTATGATAACTTGTCAAGAAGTTCTTGTGATTAACTGTCACAAAGTTCGTCGGAAAATATTTGTATATACTAAAACAACACTCGTCAAAAATGATAATTTCATCTTTAAAAGTGAGTTTTATATGCTAAATTAAACTTTAATGATTAAACTTGCCTATATGCAAATGTTTTCCGACGAACTCCATGACAGTTATCACAAGAACTCCTTGACCAGGTATCATAAGAACTCCTCCTCGTGTAACACTTCCTCCCCCATCGATATTTGCTTTAGTATAATTAAGTAATAGAAAGAGCACCGAAACACGAGGCTGTTAATCAGATTGCCGAGTGTTTCGGTGTTCTTTCTCTTTTGTATCATATTCAAACATAAAAGCACGTTCCCTGTTGTCACAATATGAAACCCCGGCAAAAATGAACCAATGATCGAACATCTGAATATGATATTTCTGTCGATTTCCCTTTCTCTGCCGTCACAATATGTAAACCCCAGCAAAAATGAACCAATCAATGGGCATGCTCTGGAGTGCGGGTAACTAATACCCGCACTCCAGTTAACGCACTGTGCATGTATATGTATACGATTTAACCCTGACACATTTTCAACAGAAAGGTCCCCAAACTATGATACAAACACTCTTTGTAGCATTATTATGCAACCTTTATTATATTATCTCTGTCATAGCTCTGTTTCCTCAAGTCTGCCAATTAAGCTTAGACTTATGTTACTCTCGTACCAAAAACAGGGCTTTATAGAATTCTGCTAACGTGTTTTATTATGATTAAATATTAGGTGAATAAATAGGACCCACAGGTGCTTGAAACATACTTTTTATGTTCTATATTGGCTATATACTATAATAAGATGTATGGTCTCCAAAGGAACAAAAACACCATGCGGAACAAACAAGAACACTGCTGAAAGAATCGACCAGATCATGGTTACCTGTTTGTGGTCGCCATTTGAAAGCATCTTTCCAAGTGTTACCGCTTTTTATTTCATGAAAATCCCTCAAATAGCAAAACAAAGAGGAAAAAATTCACAAAAAACATTATTTTCAATTCATGTCATTCTCGACGTCCATACCTTTATATCTTAAAATACAACTATAGGCTGATTATGTAAAATATGTGATTTTGTGACTAGCGCCTGTAATAGGACCTGTCTTGTAGCTTTGTACTTCAAAATCAAAACACTATTTGCAGTGTTTTATTTTCTTTGCATAACGAATATTTGCGTGTACTAATATAATCGTGTACTTAAAGTTTTAAAGAGGTGGCAGGGGCGGGATTAGGTGTCTGTGGCCAAGTGGTTCAGTTCATTGACCTTAAACAACTTGTCCTCGACTCCTGTGAGGAACTTTGAATTATTTTAAGTGAGGATGCTAGTCCGTTTAAGCCGAGACGATTATTTGTTTTATGATAAATATAGGGGGATTTCAAAAAATGTAAAGAAAACAGTAGTACAATAATTGTGAGGGTTTTTTATACGATACAGACCGTTCTTGTAGCTATAGATAAGTGTCTTTGTGCAGTGAACTGACTTAGATAATGTTTACGCATTTTGTCATTTTAACTGTGTTATAGTAAAATTGCTTTTCATTATCATGCAATATTATTTAGCAACACAGCTCTAATGCGATATATTTTGCAAATGCATTGGCTTAAACATATGTATTTAAGCTCAAATGCGAATCAAGAACTTATATTAATCACTTTCGACTCCGCTTCGAGGCATTATCCAAGCATAGCTCTTGTTTAACTAATGGCTTAAAGGAAATATAATTTCCAAGCCATTTTACAAGGTTAGATGTGAGTTTTTATCGATACAACAAAGTCTCGGGAGAGTTATTATAACAGTTCAGTCATGTTGAAGTATATTGATATTGCTGTATTGTTATAGTCACTCAGCGTTTGTAATGGTAATTAAGCCTTGATTGATAATGAAAGGGTTTTAGAAAACATATCATAAAGTTTCATTTCGTGACAAAAATTAAACAGGAATTGGTTTAAGGTTTATTCTGAGATTTTGTAGTCACGGAACTAGTTATCATACAAATAGTTATTTTCAAATGTTAAAAATGAATATATCAATCTATTTTATGATAGTTTACAGAAGAAACAAAAAAATCGTTTTAGCAGGAGCTTCCTCTGTATGGTTAGAATAGGGTGATATGAAACTATAGATGAAATGTTGTTCAATGGTATTGTAATCATCTGGGGTATTTCTATATGACAATTCGTTTTGCAATGACAGTAAAATAGTTGACTTTGATGAAAAAATATCGTTAAAAGGATTGCTTCGATCACGGACTTTGTTTTTGCGACTGACAATTATCGCTTTTTTGTGGTAATAACACTTATAACACATGGATATAACTACATGACATTGTTTGTTGAATAATTGAACATGTAACACACAAATATAACTATATGACATTTAATGCTTGCTTTCAATGGAGTGGTTAGAATTATATTCGGAATATTAATTCATTTTTCCTAACCTTTGTGAAAAACCGACGACAAATTGAGTAATACAATATCCAACACATTTGTGTTTTAACATTTATAGTTTTATATTATATGACATGTTAAAATATTTCAAGATGAGTTTATACATGCTTGAATCATACTTGAATCAATTTTACGTAATTGAAATATTGAATATTTAGGAGAGATAGAAATATTATCACAAAGTAACGTAGTATCACTCTTCAAATATACTTTTCAGTCAAAAATAAGAAAATGCCTAATATGAAAAGCTGTGACACTAAATGTACTTAAATTTTTTTGCATTTAAACTTAATATACTTTTTGAATCAGAATTAATGTGAGTAATTGATTTTTTGATTTCATTCGATATTTCTATAAGTGAAGTGATAACAGATTGTTATTCAATATGTGTACATAAAAGCACAAACTTAGAGTAGGATGGACAAATTTTGAAAAGGATACGTGAACTAAAAATATACATCATTCGTGTATTCTAACATTTCAGTTGAAAGAACTCCTTTTTGAGTATAATTATGGAAAAGTTGTGCAATATGGACAGAACAAATAACCTGCGAATCAATGTAGGTGGAACTATTTTCGTTTGTCATTCACATATTTTTAAATCGTTTCCCGAATCGTTTCTTGCAAATCTTGAAAAACAGGAGCCAAACTATAAAAATGATGAATACTTTTTTGACAGAAATCCACATATATTTGCGTACATTCTCGATGGTTTTAGAAAAGGTTCAATACATCTGCCAAAAGATGTCTGTGGAACTACTTTTAAAGCGGAGATGGAATACTGGGAAGTGTCAAAAGAACACGTAGCTCCGTGTTGTTGGGAAGCGTTATACAAAAGTGACGAGGATATTTTGACCATGCAGAAACTCATCAATGATTGTGAGAAAAACTCCAGCTTCCTAATGATGCAGCAAAAAGATCAAAGCATAAGAAACAGATTATGGTTGTTTCTTGATGAGCCGAGATCCTCGAAATATGCTATGGTAAATATTGCGACATAAGAATATTCTGTTGAAAAACATCATAAGTCATACACTTTTCTAAAGCATATCAATGCAGTTGCTATCAGCTTTTAATTATTTTGTATTTCTTAACATAGATTTTTTTTTTAGATTAAATATTTTAATTATTTATTTCCCTGTAAGGAGGTAACAAAGATATTTAATTTCAAAACATTTTATTTCAGGCATGGGCTGCGTTTGTGTCTGTGTTGATTGTTGTGTCAACATTAACAGAAGCGATGACGTCAGTGCCAATATTCCATGTAAATTATACCGAGTCTGAACAGAAAATTATTAAAAAGGCAAGTGAATTCTTGAACTGGGATGAATCTTCGTATGAAAAAATGATGACTATGAAACCACAACCATATCTGAAACTAGCAGATATTGTTTGTCATAGCATTATAACTCTGGAATTCATTATAACCCTTGTTGTGTGTCACAATAAAATGACTTATGTGTTTGATTTCTCACGCATATGTTTAATAATTGGATATTTTTCATTTTGGTTGAAATTAATACTTCAGCTTGAAGAAATAAGTTTGAAATCAGACATAGCTATAAAAATGATAACAGTGTTTGCTTATTTGACAGTTCTTAAGTTGGCGCGTTTGTTTTATCTAGCAAAGCATATTCCAGCATTTTATGTCATAAGGTTGACAATGTCCTCCTCAAAGACAGAACTGAAAATCCTTATGGCCATACTTGCTATTTTAATATGTGTTTTTGGGACCTTGATCTATTATGCAGAATATCCAAATTCAAAAATATCAAACGTATTCATTGGTATGTACTGGGCTTTGATCACTGTTACCACAGTTGGATATGGTGATTACACTCCTCAATCAGTCGCAGGTCACGTGATTGCCGGAGCATGCGCATCATGTGGCGTATTGATTCTTGCTTTGCCTATTGGAGTAATTGCTTCGTCTTTCTATACGTTTTATAATTGCAACAAATATGGCACGAAACACTACGACCACATTAAAGTTCGTCATAATTGAAAAGCCAAGTTTATTTCACAGTTATTAAAATTTTTTACGTATATTATAGAATTATTAAAACTAAATCTCCCTTAAAGACATAGAGCTAAAAGCTCTCATTTACTTCATCAAAGTGTATATTTTTGTATAAGTGTTCATAATTGGTTTTAAGTTTAAGTGTACGAGTATATTTGAGTGTCATCATCCAATAGAATAAGCGTTATCTACTACACGTAGTAAACGTTTTCAATCATTTTTTCTTTACAATATTATGATATCAAAAACATCGTAATGTTAAAAAAATATCAACAAAATTTCTTATGATTATTTGATAAGTTTCCTATGATATATTTGATAAGAGCGACAGTCCTATATACTTTATATAGAAGCAAATACGTAGATGCAAGCGGAGTAGAGTTTGTTCTGATCAGTATGAACGATTAAACTTTTGTTGGATGATTTTTATAATGATGAAAGTTCCTTAAAAATAACACTATAACTTTTAACTCAGTTCTTTTAATTCTATTATTATATAGACATTGTGTTGATGTATTAATGTATATTTGTAATAGAAATAAAAAAAAGTGTTGATATAAAACATATTGTTCTTTTGTGATTATTTCTTTATCTTAGATGTTCAACTAAAGTGTGTGTTGACTTCTCTGTGTTATAAATGGTCATTGCATGACTTTCAGGACAAAGATAAAAGTTATTCCCAGGTAATAATAAATTTATTCTTCCTTTCATTTATTTGTTGCTAAATCATTATCTGTTTTTCTCATCAAAAGAATGAGTCATATAAAAAAAAATACAAATACGCGACCTATTGGCTGTACTTTTGACTAAAACTACAGTACACAATATCCAGGCTAATATTCAAAATCAATTGGAAATTGTTCTAAGTCATTGGATAATTAACTATTACGGCCAAATTTTCGATTCGTAATCATTTTCAACCACACTCTCGTCACTTTCGTCATTAATATAGGTTTAAAATTGATTCGTTTAGAGACTTGCAATAATTATGTTGAAACGTTTCAAAATGTTAAGATGATATTTCAGATTAAACTACACTTATTCACAAGTCATTCAAAATAATAAGTCGTATGAATTTGGACATAACTTTGAACGTGCTAAACAAACTGACCAACATTTAGATGTTTCAGATCATAGCAATACTGATATACAATAAATAAAAGAATCGTATAGTCATACAAATCATTTTTTCAATCTGAAATTAGGTTTTACTTATTTTATATTATAAAATGTTGACATTTTCGTCACATTATTAATACTCTCGATCAAACGCGTGTCTGAAGGAATATTTTTGCCAAGTTCATTTTTTCACTTTGTTTCCAGATTTTTATACTGCACAACAGCAGGTGTCAAGTGCTGTGTGGCAGCTGTAAAAAGTTGCCCCATACTTCACTTCAGTGTTGTTATGTTTTTCTGGTCCTTCTGGATCATTGATGCCAGCACTATTAAGTGTTCGGAATTGAGTACCGCTTAAGCCGGTGCTAGGGGGCGTGAGGGATGTTGCACTTATTCATTATCCCTTATGTACAGACTCAATCAAACCGAGTCTGCAATTTTCATGTTATTTTGTTGTAAATAATGCTTTCGAGGGATCACTTTGTTTCCAGATTTTAAAAGATAATAGAAAATGATAGTCTAGGAAGGTTTGCAAAATTATTTGTCACATGTTCACATCCTTTCAAGAAGGAAAACCACTGCAATGAGTTTGTTGATTGTATTCGATCGTTCATCAGATAATTGTTATAGAACACTTGATTCAACGTCATTGAGAATTTTTCTTACCAGATATATTTAACTTTAAAGGTCAATTTTAGTAATTGTCAGTCTCAATAAAAAATGTGCAGTCTGACCGGGACTCGAACCCGGGACACCCGGAATACCGTACCGCGGCTCTACCGACTGAGCTTTACGGCCGCTTAAACATATTCCCCCGTAAACAGTGAACAGTTTTCAAGAAAGATTTATTACTAGATCTATTATTATTATTATTATTATTATTACCATTCAAGTTTTGTAGTTTCTTCTGAGATGATTTGGATAGTCCTGTACTTCTGGCTTCGAAAGCTTTAATGTTTTTGTATTCTTGATAATAAATAAATCATGTGCATTAATGGATAAAGACTATATTTCATTGATAGTTTGCCTACTTCTAGGCAATACAGCAGTAAACACTCTTTTCAACCCCAACAGTTAGAAACATCGCGATATCTCGCGAACCACAGATAAAATTAAACATGTATACTTTTGGGTTAATTGAAAATAGAAATAAAACAAAATAAAGTAAATTTACTTTTTATAATATGTAAAGAAATAATTTATTTTTAGATAAATACTGGATAGAAATCACATAATTTATTTCTCATATGCCAATTAGTGTGCCAATTTACCACATATTAAAGGTCATCTCGGGACTACGGTATTAACCATATTGTCAGGGTGGCGGCGGAGTGCTAAACTATCAGACATATTAGAGGTCATCTCGGGACTACGGTTTTAACCATATTGTCAGGATGGCGGCGGAGTGCTAAACTATCAGACATGTTAGAGGTCATCTCGGGACTACGGTATTAACCATATTGTCAGGATGGCGGCGGAGTGCTAAACTATCAGACATGTTAAAGGTCATCTCGGGACCACGGTATTAACCATATTGTCAGGATGGCGGCGGAGTGCTAAACTATCAGACATGTTAGAGGTCATCTCGGGACTACGGTTTTAACCATATTGTCAGGATGGCGGCGGAGTGCTAAACTATCAGACATGTTAGAGGTCATCTCGGGACTACGGTATTAACCATATTGTCAGGATGGCGGCGGAGTGCTAAACTATCAGACATGTTAAAGGTCATCTCGGGACCACGGTATTAACCATATTGTCAGGATGGCGGCGGAGTGCTAAACTATCAGACATGTCTGTATGTTTATGCTCAAATTTAGGATTTTATTGCTGCTGTTTTTTTTATTAAAGTAAAGTTTAAATATCGTGTTTAATATCGTATCAGATAGTAGCACTTTATTTATGCAAAATCCAATACGAGCGTGTCAGCACCGTTTTTATTATGTAAATAAGACTAATTGTGTTAGATTCCTAGCACAATTATTAGTTAGCTTTACCTATTCCATTGACGTAAGCGTATACGCCCTATCACAGTATAAAACGAGTACTGATATGGACGTCATGGGTGTTTTCCCCTTTATGTTTAATGCAAACATCTGCGCAGATCTACACAGTCATTCGTCAAAGTATTCCTTCATACGGCCCTTCTCAACGTATGTAGTGCACACCATTCTTTTGCAGTCATCTGTGCTTGTGTAAAACACCACTTGTTCATCTCAACTACAGACATAAAGCCAGCTTATTATCAGAATGTATCTAAAAAATATATATCTGTCATATAATTCTCTTTGTGAATAATGTACTAACATTTTCCAAATTGAAGCCTACGTTGATCATATATGAAAGGATCGCGTTCCAGGTCATCTATTGTATTAAATATTATTCTCCCCTGACACAATTTGGAATGTTATTAACGTAAAGCACTCATTGTTTCTCTTCTGTAAAGTTTAACAATTAAATCATATTGAAGAGAGCCCTTATCATAGCAAATTCCACATAATCAATTAAATCAATATTTGTTTAGGGAAACTACTGAATAACGGGATTCAATAATATCTAGTCATTACTTAGAATGACAATGAAATCAACCAGGAGAGATTTTTCAGCATTGTATTAAACAGAGATACATATGATCTAGTTTCTCTTTGTACAAACATTATCAGATCAAATATGAAAATAACGTTGTTAATTGGTATGTCATTATTTTGTTGATGACAAAGCAGAAAAGACTTAAAGTTATGATAATAATCATTTTATTATGATGAGAGTGAAGCTGTAATAACAAATGGTTTAATCATATTCTATTTGTCATATACAAAAACACATTTTATATGACATTTTCAATACAAAAATGGATTAGATTGGAAGCAACTAAATTCTTATTGAAGTCTTTTCCCGAAGTAAGTTATATTGTGTTATTGCAAGACGCCTTGGATAAGGCGATAGATTTTATCATTTGTTGACGAAGAAAGTCATCTTAGTAACTATTATTACCGGCAGTCTAATTAACTGAAGCACTTTCACGGTTCTTTTGGTGTGTCTCTTATAAACTCGGTATTTTGAGGCGTAGTGTAGGTCCAGTTTTAATGACAATGGGAAAATACAATATTAAAGTGGCAATCTTTAATCAGAACAGTGAAAACAATACCACAAAGATAGTAAAAACGTTTATTATAAAAATGTGAAATATAAAAAGGCATAAACTATTCGCCTAATAAAAAGTATCGAAGAAATTGTTGAATAAAAAAGAATGTAAAGAAAACAAATACATTGCACATTCAAAAGTCATTTCCATATCCCATTATTTTATTAATTTTCTTGAAACAGTGTCGAACAGATATCATATTTCAAGAATGGCAGGTACTAAAGTTAATCAACTAAGTCAACTTTCTACTTTATTTTTGTTTTTCTTGAGGGCTGGAAAATGTTACGAAAAAGACATGTGTTACTGCGTCATGTATTTCAAGTGATTTCTCCCATAATTTTTTACTTAAGATAGCATAATACAACCGAAGTCACTGTCATAAGCACTATACATATACGTTTTTTCAACAATCACAGAATAAATGTTATTAATAATAAACAGGTGCAAGGTAAACTTTAAAAAATTAATATGTATTATAAATCATTTAATTCAAGAATGCTGTTTTCATCTAAACTTATCTTTGATGCTTGGTCCCCATTAACTGATTGCGGCATGTTAACCTCCGTAATAGAGTTTGTCTTGATGTATGAGCAATAGTTGTAATATTTGTAAAATTTCGATGCAATAATTCCGACAGGTAGAGCAATAACTATCACACCACATACTGCGCATGATCCAGCAATCACATGACCGACAGTGGTAACAGGCACATAATTACCATATCCAACAGTCGTTAGAGTTATTAACGCCCAATAGATTGCTTTAAAAATATTGTTTATATTAGGATTGTGCAGGAATTCGGCAGCGAATAAGAAATATCCATAAACAAAAACACATATACTTAGCAAAAAAACTAATATTTTCATTTCTTGCTTACATGATCGGAATGTTAGAGTAATAAGTCTAAATGCAGGGATACTTCTAGAAAGATAAAAAAGTCGAAAAAGCTTCAATATAGAGAGATAGCCAAATATAACTTGTATAGTTACAACATATATGGAAGTAACATATCGTAAATTTAAGTAGATGCAGCATGAAATCCAATAAGCTACATATCCAAAACAAGCAATAACTCGGGAAATGCATTTGAAATAACTGTTTTTATTCGGGCAGACGACAAATCCGATAACAAGCTCTAATGTTAGAATGGCATGTAACATTACACTGATAAACAACAGGTATGCGTTTGGTTTCATGGCCGAAATCTTTTCCATTGTTGCATTACTGAAATGAACGGAATCAGCAAATTTCGCAAACACCATCATATCCTCTTCAGTGTGGTTTTCTTGAAATATATCGATAGTGGATAGAGAATCAGCAAGCAAAGCAGCCAGAATAAGGAATGATATGAATAAGTTCCATACCTGAAAACAATGTAATATGTATTAAATTCACCTATAAGCATAACAAGTTCATCAATTCACTTCTTTGATTAAAAAAGAAACAAGGCAGTCGGGGTTCTGCATGAATATGTTAATATTAATCCTATAACGAATCTTACAAATAACAAATATGAAAGAAATTTCATGTTGGAAAATAACATACATTCATATCGCCACTGACTTTATAATAATAATAATAATCTAACATGTAAACAGTATACTAGCATGTTCTTATTTACATATGTATATTACAACACACCGAATTTACAAATTGTGACATCCGTAGATATATTATATATATAATTAAGTTAAAGACAAAGTATACCATAAAAGGAAAACAATCAATGTTACAAAAATAATCAATAAATTTTATTCTTACAAAAGCTGATCTGGAAGATTTCGGCTCATCCAGAAAAAGCCAAAGTCGTGTCCTAAGACCCGATTTTCGGTCGTGAATACGGCTCCAATTTTGACCTTGACGAAAATTTTCCAGCAGCAAGTGCACTATTTCTATATCACCTTCGCTACCATAAAGTGCCTCCCAGCAACACGGAGCAACATAGCGCGGAGGTATTTCCCAGAATTCTAACTCCTGTCTGAAAGTTGTTCCACATATATCCTTTGGCAAATGTATTGCTCCTTTTCGGAACGAATCCAGGATGTATGCAAACAGTATTGGATTTCTATCGAAAAAATATTCATTTTTTTCGTCGTCATATTCGTCGTTTTCTTTGTCTAAGTTAGCCAACTTCGAAGTAGAGAAAGCAGTAAGCGTTTTTGTATAGCACTTGTAAGTTGTTCCACCGATATTTATCAGAGTGAATTTGTTTTTAATTGTATGTTTATCCATAGAACTTTAGATTGTTTCACGATATGCAACAAAGAGATATGAATGTTCACTCTACAGAAACGATCTTATTTCATTAATCAATAACTGTCTGGGATATATACTACACATATACACACATTTCCTTTGTTTCCTTATGTTTATCCATAGAACTTTAGATTGTTTCACGATATGCAACAAAGAGATATGAATGTTCCCTCTACAGAAACGATCTTATTTCATTAATCAATAACTGTCTGGGATATATACTACACATATACACACATTTCCTTTGGGAAGATACGGCGTCAAAAACACAACATTCGCGCTGCTTATCCTCTGAATTATTTAGATAATTTTCTCCTGGCATCCGATTAAAGGTACTTAACATTGCTATTTCTACATACATAAAATGGAGAAATGTAACATGGACGATACAACAGTTTCAAACTGATATTAAAGGCACACTTAGCCTATAAAATGTTGTTGTTTTTTTGTTGTGTTTTTCGTTTTCCAAAAATTTTAATGATTTGTGAATTGTAGCATTTCCAAAAAGAACCTCGTCGTCCTTATAGTTAAATTATTTTTGCTATTAGGTTTAGGCAATAAGCTACCAATGTACTAGTTTAGTATTTTGTATGAAAGTCAAAATACTACTCTGTTTATATTTACGTTTTTTTCACAAATAACTACATATATACATTATATCAGTGCTATGTTCTTCAAGTGAATAGCATTTTACATATCCGGAATCCATTATTACAATATTGTAAACACACGTTTATCATTTCTTTAGAAAATAAAATAATATGTATTTCTGAGGCTTTATGTGCCTTTAAGTTTTGTGATTGTGAAAGCCTATTACGATCCATTTGTAAGTGTTTTCCATAAGCGAATTAAATCATCAGGGAAAATGCGTTCACAGAAAATAACAATAATCGTATTGACTTTTTGAAGATGCTTTGTATTGTTTCAAATGCGCTTACGGTTCTAACTTACGGTTAGAATTCGTTTTGAACAGTAAATAAACATTTGCTTTTTTTACTCATATGACGCAGAATGTTAAGAATCTACTTTTTCCAGTGGTTAAGTCAGCAAGTACAAAATGAATTGTCTCCCATAGTAATGCCAATATAATCAGGTGCGGGATAAAACCAGTGTAGCATTATTCACCGGGGACATACGTGCGTTATTGTGTATTTGGCGCCGAAGCCTTGCCATCTACAATAGTTAAATATTTGAGACGTAAATATGTAGTGACAAACTACTTCGTTTTTTTTTTCAGTTTCCCATTCATTTATCAAAACTGCACATGACTTTAGAAACCTTAAAATAGGTATATATACTATAATAAATATAGCATAACCTATACATTAGGGTGATATTTTTCATATCTAAGTATAATTGATGTATGTATGAATAAAAGTAAAAAAACCTTCAAATTTTGCCATTATTCTTTTCATTTATTTTATAATATAAAACAAATAACAAAATATACAACAATTCAATAGGGCTGAATCAAGAATCTTTATCATTTATCTGTCCATTCTCTGTAAAAGTTATGTATGTAACGAAATCTAACAATACATTAAGCAATTCAATTGTCTCGATAAACGTTCTTTTAAATTATGAAAATTAACAATGTAAGAAAACATTGAGACACACACAAACTTATTTATTAGAAATATACTTAACGTTCCAATACATTAAAGTTATATGAAGGTTAAACATACATGTCTTTCTTTCAGGCAAATTCCTCTGACAAAATGCGTATGAAAATTGACTTAAAGAAATATACCAAGTCTTATTAAGATTAGATAAAACCTTTTGAGTATTGTCAGCAAGATTAGGTTTTCAAACGTTTCAGCCATATGCGAATGTTAAAACATAAATAATGTTATATCCAAACATAGATTATCTTTTTACAATGTACTTTACCAGTTTGACGGTATTATACATGTAAGATAATATAAGTTAACGATGCGTCATGAATCGACTCTGACAAGTTGATAAGAATCATACATCTCTAGTAACTACAGTGTTGCATCAGAGGACGTTTTCAATTTTGCACTGACTGGACAAAGAAACACTTCACCCCGAACTACCGCTTTTGAGCATGCAAACCCAGCCAAACTGTTTATATCATGGTACCAAGTAACAGTAAAATAATGATTATTACTGGTACAAACCAAAGCCACCGCTACGAATTTTTCATGCGCTCTGTGCACTAATTCCGCGCAGTTTCATTTTGTAAAATTACTCGCGTACATGTGTAAGTCAAAACACAACCTGTATGTCATAAATCTGCCGAAAAGAAGAGATAACCAATGATGTAGTGGCTAAAAAAGTAAAAGACAGACCTTGCGATTTAACCATGTTCGAATGTGAACCTTGTACAAATCAGATGGCAAAAAGTTTAAATGTTGCACGATCAATAATAAAGCGACTCGTTCGACGTGGAGGAGACACAGGAACATTTATTGATAGGTCACGATCAAGTGCGTCTCGGTTGAAAGCCATTAGGCACTATAATTACAAACGTTAATTTTCATTTATGTGGCAGAATCAACTTCTGATTTAGTGGTCGGTAATCGTATCGTGGCGGTAAACCTTTACACTATATCAAAAGTGTTTATAAGAGCGAGGCAAATAATTCTTCAGACCATACCGCGCTGTCGTTCTAAAAAAAACGTCACTGTCAAAAACGTCTTTTTATGGATTCGTTACCATGCCCACGATCGTTGGAATATCGTCGTTTAAATAACGAGTTGCAATTTAATTTATTCAATGTTGACGGGTATAAAACGTCGAAATAAACATTACTTTAATAACTGTTTATCAGTCAATGTGTACGTAAACGTCAAACAAATTCAGCCACAAATCATACAGTAATTGCCAGCAGCTATTCGCGTGGGTGTAACAGGATTTTTACGTAACCTTCTACGAAACTATGCGGGTATATGAGAAGGATATGGACGGTTGTTATAGCCAGTGGTGGAAGTCGTTTACGATAAGAGTTCGAAACATGAACCGTTTATGACTTTAGTTGTTATCAGTAACGTTATTATTATTGCTTAGTAATCCAGTTCTTGTATGTAATTTACTTTTAACATTGTTTAGAATTGAATAAAATTATGCAAGAAAAATATGATGCACTTGTTCTGTATCCTTTCAGTGTAGTGATTTAGCCACTTCTTGATAAGAAACCATCTTATTTTGATATAATGACTGAAAGGTGTATCGTGTAATGTTCATAGTGCTAATTGTAACGCTCAATCTAATTGCCGAAACAATTACTCTTCTGATTTTTCGACAAAAACGATAAGAAACAGCACATATGAGTTAATATTTACAGAGGATGATCTTGTAACTATTATTGACACAAAACAAATACAATAAAAAATGATAATTAATTTTGTTCATTCTTTTCACCGTCAGTAGACAGCACTGTAGATTTCTAAAGCTTCTTTGCTACTCTACACACAACATAACCAAAACTAAATTACATTAAAAACAAAAAAGAATTCATAGAAAGAGTTTCTTGTTGCCATAAATAAAGCAATAAAAGCAACAGGTCGCATAACACTGTCTAGGTTTTAGAGCTCCTTGCCTTCACAAGTAAAAGTATGAAGGCTATTATTCTGTAAACAATCAGCATTGCTAGCAGCAGACCGATATTAAACCACAGATTGTCCTGTAATCAAACAAAAAAAAGATATTTAGGAATCAATTTCGTTGCATATTGAAAATGCCAAATTATACATGTTGTATAAGTGTTGATGCCCTCAATTACAATTTTTTCGGTTTGAAAGATTTTTGAAACTATTAATAACAATGGCAATATAATAATAAAAATTCTTTTACGTGCATTCTATAAAAAGGATACAAATATGTTTGTCGTACCTTGCTGTAATTTAGATACAGTATAACTTGCTTTCCGTTGTGAAAATGACAGCTGTCAACAGGAGATGTACTGTTACTATCACAAGCTACAAAACAATTCCATTTTTTTTTTGAAATATTATAGTTCTTTTTAACCACACTGTTTTCTTTTAAAAAATATAGAACATATTATCACTTATTTATTTCTTTGTGTTCTAGGGTTAAAAACTTGATCTAGGGATCAAAGATTTGGGAACGACCATATTGCCCCATCAAACCTGATAAGTTCAAGAAAGTGGACATGGAGGAATATCGCGTAATGTCTTATTTTAAATAAATGAATACATTAATTAGATCAGATATCTTCTTTTGTCATCTGTAAATGTTCACGCGTGTATAGTACATTATTGGAATAATAGATCTATAATAAAGATATACCCACATAACATGTCAACATCATCCCACTGGTTTACCATAAGTAGCTCATTTGAATATTTGAACCATGATAAATATTCCAGCCAAATAAAATAAACTGGGACGGAACTGAAAACAAAGTTTTATATCTATTTTAAGGCAAAAGAAGCAATGAAGTCTCTCGTGTACAAAATATTTTTGTACATAGCTTTCTGAAATTATTTTAAACTAGCTACTTTAACAGTGGCAAAATGGGCAATGCTAAAGTTACATATTATATAACCAATCTGCTTAAAATATCGACTTATTTTATACGTTAAATGTGCTTTTTTAATGTCGGACCATTTCATAACTTGTAAACCATATCATATAATAATAAGCAAAAATCTAAAATCTGTTTAAAAGAATATTTAGGGAAAGGAAACATACTCTGAATTTAAGAAAAATCCACCAAACATTACTAGTGGAATAAGTGTTGGTGGAGCAATTGCCAATGCTGTGGTCACGGAGTTAGTACCCGCCGACACTATATAGCCTGAAACAATAAATAAATAATTCACATGAAAATGTTTTCATGAATCGATTGATATACTAGAAACTTGTTTTAATGATCAAGGGATTTAATGCAAACACCGTTATAAAAAAGGATAAAATAGTGTACATGTAGATTGCTTTTGCTGAGTAATTGGTGTATACAATTCTGTCAGTTATTCAAGGAATTTTTATCAATATATGTAATGATGAAATCTAAGTTTCAGTAAACCGATGTTAAATACAAAACATGGATTTATAAAATGGCGAAAATGAAATGCTTACCAAATGAAACTGATATATTTGAAACAAGCACAATCACGGCAGTAAACACAAGAAATGCTTCCAGTGTATTGTATAACCCTGTATTTTACAATAAATGACATAAGCAAGTTTGTGCAATGTATATTGCTGCATGTTCTCATTGTATAACATGCTATGAGACAGAGTCAAAATATCATTAATTCAAATATAACTAAACAATTTGGAAGAATGATTCAAATTTCAAATAGCTGTGAGAAATCTGCATCTTACCAAATGTTTAAAAGATGAATACTCAGTTTAAATGGTTGAAGGATACTTTTTAGACGGCAAAGTTATATAATGTCGTCGTGATAACAAGTAATAATTTCGCTGCTACAATAATCTGTTATATAAAGTCTGTGAAATGATACTTTACCAATCATCCAGTATGCAATAGCTGAGAAGATAACTGGAATGATTAAGTATGAAGGCAGCTGTAAATAAAAAAGGGAATTTTATTTCTTCAAAAGAATGTAATAATATCGTACAGAATGGGTATTGTAGACAAATATTTCTAGCACATCACACAGGATTATCTACCGTTTACACCTGTGCTAGAAAAACCTGTCCTCGCGTGCTTAAAATGAAGTAATTTCCGCGTGCCTTTTATGAATGAATTGCGTTCTTAGGATGTCTTCATTTTACCGTTATTAAGTCCATACGCTTCTATAAGAAAAAAGTGCATAATGAGAATCAGTTTTCGTAATTTCTGTTCTGAAAATAATTGATATCTAATATACAAGAAAAAGAATCAAACACCGGCTGACGGTACAGACGGGAATATCTAGTTCTCGGGTAACTTAAGCGGAAACTCGACAGTGCCTCGTTACCACCGTAAACAATTACTCTCGAGCTATATAATTCAGTCTCTACCGGCAGCCGGTGTAAGATTTTTATATGATTATTGAACACTTAAATGATTTGTATGGGTACGATATCTTTAATGACTTATATTAATCTAATCGTGTTAAAGGTTTGAACCTTGATCACATTTCAAACTCTTTACCTTATTCAAAGTGAGTATAATTTCTGGATATATTTGAATATCAAAAATGAAGATTTATTATACCTCTGCTAGAGTCTTGCTAATAAAGTAAATGTCCACCCTGTACAGCCCAATGCCGTACTCTCGTTTGAATATTGGTGTCTCTAAAGGGAAAGACTGTAGGAAAAAAAAAACATTTCTTGTTATCTATCAAAAAAAAAAGTATTGGTTCAGCTACGTACCATTGCGTATTTTGGTTTCTTTGCATGCAAGTGGCAAGGGAATAGGAAGAACTTCAATCAAAAGTTAGCAACTAATTAAACGAGTAAGAATCATAAAAGATAGGAACGTGTAACATTATACACAAATGCAGGACAACACGTCAATGCGGCGTTGGAGGACCACATAATCATGAAGTTAAACAAATGCAACAACTATCGGTTCTCCGACTAAATTAACCGGGGTCATGTAAACAAATAATAATAGTATAGTTTTTTAGGTACTGCCAAAACTTTGAAATATCGAAACCGTTAAAACTTACATTTAGTACACCAAGCATATTTGTAACAGTCATATTTATAAGTATAAGAAATATGACCCCATTGATGTTCATAACACCTTCTTGGTCGTGGTTTAACTGGAGATAGATCAGCCCGAGAACTATGGATAATACCTGAAACCATCGTATTCATTTACAAAAGGATTTGATGGATCATTTTTAAACATCCAATGACACTGTGGCATATGCTTGCTATTTAAATGATCTTAAAACAAGAAGATTTCATTTGTATTTAAAACTGAATAAAATGTGGAGATGCATGAAAAATGTTTAAGAAATTGAAACATATTGAATATTTCTTATATGGAAGATGGTAAGTCAAATATCAACACGTATTGGGCTCGGGTGTTGATAGTAGCTTGCACAGTCCCTGCTGTCCATGAACAGACCAAACTCAAACCGAGCCTACGTTTTTTTTCAAATTGTCCACGTTATAAGACCTTAAATGCTGTACCTCATTTGACTGTCTAAAAAAGTGGAAGTATTTACTAAATACATCAATAAAATTGTTAAAAGTGAACATGCTATCTTTCCTTTATTTCATTTACATGTCAGATCAAAGACATGGGTAATAGTTAATGACACTAATGTTAACAAAATGTCATTAAAAAGTCATCAGTAAGTACTCACGATTGTCTGAACTAGTCTTACTCTCATAACCATAGGTTCTCTTAGAGTTGTCTTCCATGATCGTGTTAAAACTGCCGCAAATTGTTCATACCAAGGTGACCCATATCTGATATATATACAAATATAAAGATGACCCATATCTGATATACACAAATATAAAGATGACCCATATCTGATATACACAAATATAAAGGTGACCCATATCTGATATACACAAATATAAAGGTGACCCATTCTGATATATACAAATATAAAGATGACCCATATCTGATATATACAAATATAAAGATGACCCATATCTGATATATATACAAATATAAAGGTGACCCATATCTGATATATATACAAATATAAAGATGACCCATATCTGATATACACAAATATAAAGGTGACCCATATCTGATATACACAAATATAAAGGTGACCCATTCTGATATATACAAATATAAAGATAACACATATCTGATATACACAAATATAAAGGTGGCCCATATCTGATATACACAAATATAAAGGTGACCCATATCTGATATATACAAATATAAAGATGACCCATATCTGATATATATACAAATATAAAGGTGACCCATATCTGATATATATACAAATATAAAGATGACACATATCTGATATACACAAATATAAAGGTGGCCCATATCTGATATACACAAATATAAAAGTGACCCATATCTGATATATGCAAATATTCAAGTAAGCATTTACTGTTATTTTCTTAGCTTTTTAAACACAAACATACATGCATGATTAATACTTATGACACTGTTGATTCTCTCCTCTGTAATGTTACATGACTTAATTATTGTATATTTGATTGTTTCTTATTATCATATTATAAATTATGTATTTGATTATTATTTTTTTATAAATTATGAATTAAGCAATAGATGATTGATATTTGACATATTCTGCAGAATTTCAAATGATATAAAATTTAATACCTATCCGAGCTTTCTGAGACGAGTAGCTGAAAAGATAAAACTAATTTTAAATTACTTTACACGACACTTCAACGGTGATAATTAACGATTCTGAACATGATTCTAACTTTGATTGATTAAATGTTTTTCCGTACTAGAATATTTAAATTTTCTAAACTTGAATAACAATAAATAAGATAATCATATCCGAGTCCCATCACTATTGTATTTATAAAAAACACATGTATATTTTGTTAATGCCGTTACAGTTGAATACAATGTCTTTTTGACGTGCATGTTTGAGTGGAGCTGTTTTGTTTATTTACTCACTGAACTTCTGGAGGAACTGTTTATTTCCTTTGGATGATTTTCATTTTTCATTTCGATGGCATTTGTCGTCTTTTCAAATTCATCACATATTGTCTGCAAAAGATATATTTTTTTTTATAAATATCATGCCGAGTAAGAAACAGCAACACACTTACAAAATAGGTAAATCAATTCTTTCTAAGTTAAGACTAATTAATGTTAAATCATTAAGCTAAACAAACAGAGAAAAACTTAAATAATACAATTATACAAGATTGACGTAATTAACATTCAGGAATTTCAACTTGTGAGCAGATGTTTATACCTTTACATTGCTTCTGCATTCAGCTTCATTACCAGGTACCACAGCCATAGACGCTATAAAGAAATCACAAGGGTTGTAATTCTGTGGGCAGGGCTTACCGACACTGCAAATTAAAAAACAATAAAGCGTGTGTTATGATATGAAAGATTCGAGCTGATTGAAAGATAGAGAGATTAGAATGTTTTTCTTGGGCCATTCTGTCCACACTTTGATATCTCGCGACTGTTACTACTCCTATTGTGTATGATTGATTTCCTCATACCTCTAAACTGTTTTGTACCTACATGCATGTTTGCGTGTAGACCTTTAACTTCCTTCCCTGCATATCTGCATTCCTTTTCTCACCCATTCAAAGAAAATTCCTTTAAATTTTATAAACTACTAAAACCCAAGGCGGTATTTACAAGCGACAGCCCAATTCAATAAATAATTTTATAACATAAAAAAGATGTTATTTGGGCAGAGCAAGCTGATTTCTTTTGTAACAGAAATTACGATATGTAATTGAGTTATCAACTTAAAATATCAAAAATTTTCTTAAATAATCTCTCATACCATGGTTTTACCCAGATGAAAACATCAATAAACTTGAATCTCCATTAATACTGTCATGTCCTCTCTAAAACAAAATTGGCCCTCTAATCATCTTGGCCCTTAACTTGACTCATAATTGTATTTCTGGCAACAATAAGATGCATGATTTTTTTCTTCTATTTTCACCAAGTATTCACAAAATAATGCTCATTACACGTGTATAGAAAGAGAGATTTACAAGTTTTAATGAGAAAAAAATATGTGCTGTATGCGTATATTTTAGGTACCAAAGTTGATTTATTTTATAATACTTCTTTGAGTGGCATTGTACGTTATTCAGAACAAATATTCATTCTCTTTATAATTGCATTTTCAGTGTCACAATGTTACAAACAGATACCGACAAAAGTCAAAATTGGCCGAAGTTGGCCGAGTTGACTTGTAACTGGACAATATGTCGAGCGGGTGTAGTACAGTCGTACTTCTAGTTTTAAAAAGTAAAGTTGCTTACCTTGAGAAAAAGTTGAGGGCATCATTTATACCTCCGAGAAATGCGACTCTTCCTTCAGCCATTATAAGAATTCTTGATAAAAAAAACATGAACAATCTTTTAAGAAATTAAGTAAGGTATGATGAAAGGAAACCCAATAATCAGCGAACGATTAGACGACGAGGATTAGAAGTACATTTACAGTACTGTAGGCAGTCAATATGTCCCTAAAATTTACATCACATGAAACCCGCCATATGTTTTTCCTGATGGAAAAGTGCAACCGCATGCAAATGAAATTAATTTACATGTAACCATATCACTAAAAATACACGAATTAGGATTATATATATCCTACAACATCGAACAGAATTTCAATTTGCACTGAATGGAATTGCAAAGCTTTCAAAAGGGCAACATAGATAAAGATTAAAGAAAGATAAAAACATCTATAATGTAATAATTCAAAATATTTCTACATCATATCTACAATTATACTTATTCATTTTCAACTGTGATGAGAGTTACCATCACTTTTACTAACTGTACATAGCTTGGTATTCACTTAAATTTCTCTATTTACAAAATAATCAGTTTTTTAAATGTATTATTTTCCCTTACTGGTTGAATAAAAAGAAAACTTCCGAGGAAGGCTGGTGAATTGTACACATAACCGTTTTTCCTTTGTTTGTCATAGATCTCAGATTTTGAACGATGCTTTCAGCCATGAATGAATCAAGTCCAGATGTTGGTTCATCACAAAATAATAGTGGTGGATCATTTAGTATCTAAAAATACAATATTTGTGGTAATCTTAACTACCCATTTAGCACAACAAGGCGTTTTGATGCATGCCAACTCGTTTTGTTGCCTTGTCACGAATTAAATGTATTTAATGTAAGCATAAAATGTTATTTGTTTTTTTACTCATTTGTAACAAGGTTTGTATTACAAATAAATATACTAAGTATTTCCGTCAGTGTCCTTAACTTTTTGTTTTAGAAACAAACTACATGTATTATCAAAACATAAGGTTGAATTATTATAACAAACCTCTGAAGCAAAGGAGAGTCGCCTCATTTCTCCTCCAGATATCCCTTTTATTCGGCCAGGATCCCCAATCATGTTATTCATACATTTCTGCAGACCAAGTTCATGAATAACTTCTTGTACTCGAGCCAGCCTTTTATCCTTCGACAAAGTTCTATCCATCCTTAGTAAGGCCTATAAAACATTAGGTGACGAACTGCTTTTTGATTTAACAATTATAGAAAATGATTCATATATCTATCAGAAATAAACAAATTAAAAGGTGATATTGATAGATGGTGAAAACACAATACTAGTAAGTATAAAATTAAAAATATTTCAAAAAGAGAAATTGCTTTCATTTGTTTACTTTTATGTTGGCGATAAATAAAACAGGTTTGCAAAATGTTTGCTCTTCAGTAAAGGAACTGTATTATACATTTCAACTATTTTGCAAATTGGTATTTTGATTGGAAATGGTGTGTTGTCTTACATTGTTATTTCAGGGAAGGGATAATTATCCAGTACATATGAACACCTGTTGCCGAACAAATATATATATATTCCTGCAATATCAAATTGTTTTATGGTTTTGAGACCCCTAGGGTATTGTTTATGTAATGATTTTATCTTACCCTAAATGTGAGATGTTCCTTTACTGTCATTGTGGCAATAAACATGTCGTCCTGACGAACGTATGCAGAAATATCTCTTATATTTGTACCAGCAACTTTTCCATTGACTCTGATATCACCTGTGATTGATAGAGAGTTTGTGTCCACCCTTGTTGTCAGGGTATTCAGCAAAGTTGTCTTTCCAGAACCACTAATAAATTAGTAAATAAACTAAATGCTAAATAAAGGTTTTACGTTGTAATGTACTGTAAATTCAACCATCGTATTCTATTTAATCATTCTTTGTTGCAATAAACTAATGCATATCATTTTGGTTTTTCTTTTTTTTCGATAATGTATTCATACACAACTTGAATAATAACAGTACAATACGGAAGTTTGAAAGTATAACAAATATTACCTCGCCCCAATGATAGCAAGTAGCGTTCCTGGCTTTATGCTTCCATAAACTGTAATAAGTAAGAAATGTGTATCTTTGAATCGAAATAAAATAAACGTTTTGCTTTAAATTATTATTAACACCGTGTATATCCAGTAACGCCGGAATGAGAAAATAACGCACGATTCGTTCAATAAGTAATGCAGAATTGTGCAATAAATGGCAGATACCTGACAGGATTTGCGACGCGGTAAGTAAACTGGCCAATATATTTTTTATTTAATCGAACTTGAAAAAATGAATAGCCGTATAAGGCTGCGAAGACATTACTCTTTATCCCTCATCAAGATTATTTCCACGAAATTGTTTACTTTTCAAGATCATTCGTGCAAATGATGGCATGACCACCGTTTTGAGCGTATTTTTGGCTTTTGTCGTCTCTTATAAGTACAACAATGCATATTATACCGTATACTTTCGATTTTCGGTAGGCCAGTGACATTAACTAAGCGACGGGTGATATAAAAAAATTAAAATAAGCTGATAAAATGTGATTCAAGCTGTTTTATGAGGTAACGTCGATGTACGTGAATTGTGCTTCGCGGTAACGCCGGAAAATGTGATTTTTTCATATATGTCACTGAACTGCTACACAGGTTGAACGCCTTTTATCGGCGAAAATAATAAAGTCATTTGTGACGTAGTCAATGTATTTTCTTCGTAACTTATATAGAAATATATAATAATTAAATCTTGACAAACTTGACAATTGTTTCCTGAAATAAATTAATATTTGCAAACATGTTGCCCACGTCTAATCTTGTAAGAAAATAAGAACAATAAACTTCCATTGCAAATAAGTTGAATATAAAAATAATAAATAAATAAAGAGAAAACGTGTCTGTGTATTTTATGCCTGAAATAATGCACCTGTAAAGCTTAAAGTCTCCATATGTCCATGAATGTGTTGGCGTGATTTGAAACCCAACCAAAACAAATATATGGCTGTAGCACTTTGGCTGGTTTACTTCTTTGAAAATGGATTATTTATCTAATATATTTTCTCTTATATAAGGAAGTGACTTGTATTCAAAATATATTTTACATAGAAACTATAATACCCAAAACTTGTAAAAGCATAACCTTACTGTCCTCTGCTTAAGTCAAATCAATTATAACCCTTGAGGTAAAGATTAACCCTACTCTTGGGGTTTCTTATTATTTGTTAACTTGTATGGAAAAAACATATGAATCTGCCTCAGGAGCTTATGCTAGGCATTAATATAGACACGTTTACAAAACTAACAGGACTAATGACCCTTAAAGAGGCCACCAGTACAGGGCCAGGTAACATGCATACAGAGTGACCATTTGCTCACTCAGGTAACTCATTTGTACAAATACATTAAATATCTAATACCAATCTCTCAGACTTTGAATGAACTGTTCCAAATTCACAGCTGAGCAAAACCATTTCATAAATTCACCAGGTCAATTGTGACAAAGTTGAATATATTTTGGTCTCTTAACTCAATGTACATGTGTATTGAGAGCTACTAGAGATGTGTTTGGGGAATATTTTATCTATCCATGCCATGAAGGTCTAAATGTGGAATTCCCGGTGTTTACTTCGTCAAATAATTAAAAATTAAAGAGTGAGAACAATGAAAAATTCCTCGTATTCACTTCAACAAAGATTAATTATATTACGAAGCTTATAGCTCTGTGGTTTTAGGGACGGATTCGAGACTGTGTCTTTATTTTCTACGCAATCAATCTAAATTAAATTCTGTATAAAATGAATTAAAGTTTCCGCATTAAATTATATTTGAAAAGTAAAATATACTCGGTGATTAATGGCATTAAACCTGTGTAACAGTCAGTACAATATATGAAAAAAACACATTTTCCGGCGTTACCGTGAAGCACTTTTCACTCACATCGGCAATACCTCATAAAACAGCTTGATTCACATTTTATCACCTTATTTAAATTTTCTTTATCACCAGAAATTTAGTTAATGTCGGCCTACCGAAAATAAAAATTATACGGTACAATATGCCTTTTTGTACTTGTAACAATCGACGAAAAGCCAAAACCTTGCTCAAAACGGTGGTCAAGCCATCATTTCACGAATGATCTTGCAATATAAGCATTTTTTTCGGAAATACTCCTGATGAGGAATAAAGAGTATCGTCCTCGCAGCCGTATGCAGCTATTCCTGTTTTTACAGTTCGGTTAAGTAAAAAATATATTGGCCAGTTTACTTACCGCGTTGAAATTCCTGTCAGGTATCCGCCATTTATTGCACAATGCTGGGTTACTTATTGCACGAATCGTGCGTTATTTCCACATTCCGGCGTTTCTGGATAAACACGGTGATTAAAATGAAATTAAAAAATAACTTAGTACAAATTAATCTCTGTGAAATCCAAATGACTGGGAAACACGGAGTTACATTTTGATAATACGAATTTGTGACATCGAATATACTCACCATTTTTCAGAATTTGGTTTGGAGGGTCTATCGAGTCTTGTCGTCTGCAGCATATACGACGTTTTGGTTTAACATGAACATTAATATTATCCCATGATAACGTCACTCCATCTGCTTTTTCTTCCACGTTACGCCTGTTTAAATCATATATATTTACAATTATAGGTTTCTTTGAATATTTTTTTAATTTGAAAAGATGCTTTATTATTTGCTTACTTTCAACGAGTCAATTGAGATCATAACTTATTTTACTGTAAACGGAAATCGAGAACGTATCTGGATATAGAATAAGCCTACTTTTGTTGAACATAGTTTAAATCAATTGAAATATGCAGTGACTGATGTACAAAGTTTTAAACTGTTTACTTTTATTTTGACACTTTGACTTTACTAACTTGGCATGTCATACACTTTCGTGTGATTTTTAAAGAAAATAATTCCTTTGTTTGATAGATAACCATTCAAATATGTTGAAAGGTCTTAAGTTAGTTTAAAGTATTTCTCGTCCAATTTAAACAGTATCTATTATATAAAGGCAATAGCTTGCTTGTTAATATATATATATATATATATCACAACCACGTAAGGTTTCAAAATAAGATTATAATAAAAAGAACTAAGGATCACAATAATATCAATAAAATGTAAGGCTTCAAATAATAAAAACTTACCGTGTCATACAGATAACACTATCCTGCCACTTTTTCATCATTGATTTTAGCATATACCACTCTATTATGCTTCAATTTAATGTTGCATATTCCTCATTGCTATGCGCACGACTACCCGGAAGTGTTGGATCAGTGTAAAACTTATGTAATATCGACCTCGTCTAACTGCTTTCTGTGAAGCGTGCAATCATTAAAAGCGTTCGCCTCATGTCTGTTTGATTTATTGTAAGCTGTGATGCAGATGAATTTGCAAAACATCCTTATTAATGTTTTCTTTGCCATATCCAAGTGTTGTTGTATGTACATATATCATATTAGGAGTGTTCTTTTTGTTCTTTAAAAAAAGGACAACAAAATAATGTAATTAAATAATCTAAAATTATATGTATTTTACATTTATACGAATTTAGCTTCTCATCTAATCATTAAAAAATGTTTTAAGTATGTAAAATGCTGGCAATCAAGTCAGCCCTTTGAAGCTGCTGCATTCTAAGATTTTAAAACTAGAAACACTTCAAGGTATCTTAAATATATCAGCAAGGCAAATAGATATCTCCTTCCCATGACTCCAGTGACTTAACGACTGGCCATCAGTTTTGTTTAAAAGATTTCAACTCAATTTTACTATAAACCTTTGCCCTTATTATGACCTCGACTTGCGTTTATAAAGAACAGCTAAATTCTTGAAATACTTCAATCTTGCAACGGATTAGATAACAAGCCTTTGTAAATGCTGGTAACATGGGCAAGATAATTAATCTCCGCGAGTTATTAACGCATAATTTTGTTTACAACGTCTGGTTGAAAGAATGTAAAACTAGGATAAATATGAGCCGTGTCATGACAAAACCAAGATAGTGGGTTTGCGGCCAGCATGGATCCAGACCAGCCTGCGCATCCGCGCAGTCTGATCAGGCTCCATGCTGTTCGCTATCAGTTTCTCTACTTAAAATAGAGTTGGTAAGCGAACAGCATGGATCCTGATCAGACTGCGTGGATGCGCAGGCTGGTACGGATCCATGCTGGTCGCAAACGCATTATGTTGGTTTTGTCGTGACACGGCTCATATCAATTTACAAAATATATATCTTCATGATAAACTATCATCAGGGCATATTTATACTTACAAACCTCTGTCAAAAGCCAAAAAATAAAGAAGCAAAACGGCCATATGTAGAATTTCTTTTTAGGTAGGTTTTATTGCAAAGTCCTTCTTTTTGCAATTGCACGCTTATAAATTTTCGGTGCATGACTATTTGTATAGTTTACAACAGTATAAATGTTTGTTATTTACACTGGAAATCAATAAATCTTCGCCTGTCTCGACAAGAGGTATTGTGCAGTAAATGAGAAATATGTCATAAATTGACTGTCATTTGAATAGAATTCTAATCTTTATTATTTGATGTTTTATGGTTCATGAGTCGTAGATACATCAATTTTGTAAAACTGCCTTGACTAAAATCAACAAATAATGAATAATTATTACTGTAATGAATGCATATGGCTTATAAAACGATCTTTAAAAGATAGAATGTTTTTAAAGCTATAAATCTGCTTTCCAATTATTCTATCTTGTCAATATGCTTTTATCATATATAAAACTTAACATATAAAGTACATCACACACTAAGAGAAACAAATGGAAACTACAAAAATCAGTTTGAAACTTAATATAATCGAGCGATCCTTAAAGTGTGTTGCTTTATTTTTTTAATATTCCATAGGTCTACGAAATAGATTACAGTTGTTTTGTGCCCCCACTTATAAGGGGGGGGGCATTTAGATTTACCCGTGTCCGTCCGTCCTTTCGTCCGTCCAAGCAGGGCTGTATGTGGACTTGTGGACTTGTTGATGTGTACTTGTGCACCTGGGTGTCTGCATGTGGATTTATTCGGTTTTTGTAGAGTTACTGGCTTCTGACTTAGTAAAATTTGCAATGTTGAACTTGTGTGTCATGTAGCTCGAAATGTTTTTGACCTAGAGTCATGAATGTTAACAGGCATGTTGCTCAGCATGTGAAGTTGTACACCTGATCTTTTACTTATTGATTTATTCTGTTTCGTCAATGTTATGGCCCTTGACTTAGTAAAAATTTGCAATTTTCAATTTGTGTCCTGCGTGTCTCAAAAAGTGTCTGACTTAGAGTCATGAAGAGGAATGTTGATCAGCATGTGTAATTGTGCACCTGGTGTTTGTTTTTGAATTTATTAAGTAATTTTGTAGAGTAATTGTCCTTGACTAAATAAAAATTTACAATTTTCACATTGTGTCGCGCGTAGCTCAAAAATGTTTCACTAAAGTCATGAAACTTCACAGGAATGTTAATCAGCATGTAACGTTGTGTACCTTGTGAATTTATTCTGCTTTGTCAGAGTTATTGCCCTTGACTTTGTTAAAAATAAAAAAAAATCTTTTTGTGCTGCACGTAGCTCAAAGAGTATTTGATCTAGAGTCATGAAACTTAATAGAAATGCTGGTCAGCATGTGAAGTTGTGCACCAGGGGTTTCTGTTGTGGAATTATTAAGTATTTATAGAGATTTGCACTTAGATAAGTAAACCTTTGCAATTTTCAACTTGTGTTGCACTCAAGTAGTACCTAGGGTCATGAATCTTTTCAGGAATGTTCTTTAGCATGTGAAAATGTACACCTGATGTTTCGCTTGCAGATTTATTCTGTTGTATCAGAGTTATGGTCCTTCACTTAGTAAAATTTTCAATTTTCAATTTGTGTCTAGCGTAACCTAAAAAGTATTTGACCTATAGTGATGAAACTTTACAGGAATGGTGATCAACATGTGTCGTTGTGCACGTGGGTGTTTTCGAGCGGATTTATTCAGTATCCGTAGAGTTATTTCACTTGATTTAGTAAATTTTGCAATTTTCAACTTGTGTTGCACGTAGCTCAAGAAGTATTTGACCTAGGGTCATTCAATTGTTCAGAAATGTTGCTCAGGATATATACACCCTATGTTTTGCTTGTAAATTTTTGTTTTGTCAGAGTTATGGCTCTTGAATTAGTAAAATTTGCAATTTTAAATTTGTGTCGTGCTTAGCTAAAAAGGTATTTGACTTTGGTCATGACACTTAAGAGGAATGTTGGTCAGCATGTAAACATAGAGAAAAACAGAGTCCCTAAACAAAGCCCAATACGACAAAAGTTGTGCGCCTTGTGATATGCTTGTAGATTTTTTCAGTATTTGTAGAATAATTACGCTTGACTTAGTAAAAATTTTCAATTTTCATCTCGTGTCATAGCTCAAAAATTGTATGACTTATTGTGATGATATTTTACAGGAATGTTGACAAGCATTTGATGTTGAGCACCTGTGTTTTAGTTGTGAATTAATTCTGCTTTGTCATTGACTAAGTACAAAATTTCAATTTTCAATATGTGTTGCATTTAGCCCAAAAAGTATTTGACCTTGAGTCAGGAAACTTTGGAGGTATGTTGGTCAGCATGTGTAGTTTTGTACCAGTGTTTACGGTTGTGGATTTAGTCAGTATTTATAGAGTTATTGCCCTTGAATTAGTAAACATTTGCAATTTTAAGTTGTGTCGTAAGATGTATTTGACTTACTACACTCGTGAAACTTGACTTCGCAAAATCCATTCCAGATGTTAAATGTACCTTAAATGCTTGAGTTAGAATCAACCGATCATCAACAACACTGAGAAGCTGTGTACCTGGAGATTTGCATCCAGATATTTTTCAATTTAGTTAGAGTAACTGTATTTGATTAAGTATAAATTATAGATTTCTCCATGCATATCTCATAAATTATTTGACCTGTAGTCGTGAAAGTATACAAGAATGTTTATCAGCATGTGTAGTTATGTACCTTTGAGTTTGCTTGTGGATTTTTTAGTAATTGTAGAATCTATGTCATTGACTAAGTAAAAGATTGTCGGTTTTCAACTTGTGTCACGTGCAGCCAAAACAAATTTGAGTTAGAGTTAGATGATTGACAAAACATTGGGGTGTGGACCTTTGGGCACATTTCTAGTTTCTGATTTTGAATAATTTTACTTCAATTTAAATCAATAGATGTTTTGTGAAACTCAAAACAAGCGTTTGCAAAACTTTTATTTTGTAAAAATTTGTGTTTAAAATGAAATAAAGGCTGTAATTGACATATTCTCATGTTCGTCACAAAATTAAGATGTCATTGTAATAATTCTGATTCCAGAAAATCAATAGGAACACCTTATAGTGTGGAATAAAATCAAATAAAAAAAATGTAAAGTCGTTATAACTCAAATAAAGGCGTTAAAACGTGAAACAAAACGCGTTATAACGTGAATAGAAATGCGTTATTACGCGAATCAAAAGGCGTTGTAACGCAAATAAAGGCGTAGTAACGCGAAACAAAAAGACGAAGACAATTGAAATATGACGCACATATATCTTGAGCTATTTATTCAGATCAATATTTTTCTATCGTTCTTACTTTATCAGGAAATTTGATGAACACAAATATGGTTTTAAATTGGCATAATAACGCCTTTTGTTTTGCGTTATCACGACTTTTAGTTCGTGTTATAAAGTCTTCTGTTTTGCGGTGAAACGCCCTTTGATCCGCATTTAACTCTTTTCCCCGCGTTTTTTGCGTTATTCGCGTCATATCGCATTTTTATGTTTTTGCGTACTTTGTGTTTTTTTTTTTTTGCAAATGCGCCTTTTGATTCGAGTAATTAGGCCATTTATCTGCGTTTTACACCATTCATTTTACGTTACTACGCCTTAATTATTGCCATTATACCTTTTATTTCGCGCAGTTACGCATTTTGATTCGCTTTATTATGCCTTTCCAAATGGTTTTTCTTATTTAATTTGATACTGTTAGGCCATCGTAATTAAACCTATGTGAAAATTAAAAAGAAATTCTACACTTATAATGCAGGTGTGATAAGTAATAACTTCTTTATACATGTACAGCGTCCTTCAATTTTAGCAACGTAATCTTATTATTGTTTCATGACTTTAAAAGTGTCAATGTTTACTTTCTTTGAATTAAGATTTTTATATTTACTGATATTCTGTAATATTGATATTATCCCTGCAATGAATACAGTTTTGAATAAGGCATGTTTTATAAGTTGATATAATAAAGGTTTTATTCACCATGTCTTCCGGGTGCCGTTGAATGTGGGGTTTTATACAGACCAAATACTTCTTTGTCAATAAACATGTTTACAAATCAACTGAATGCTTTTTAATAAACGCCTACGGTTAACATTGTCAAAGCGAATTTACAAATTTAATAAAAAAAAAAGCATTGCACTCAAAACTTCCTGATAACGAAATGGGTTCAAAAGATATGATATATTTAACTTCCCGTCCTTGGAACAAAATATATTGGACCGTAAAAACCTCAGTAGATGGTAGGATTTACAAATACAAAGTATATCACAAGCAAATCTTTTGTGTATATGCAACTATTTCTTGAGTTCGAAGCTGTATACTAGATTTACAAGAAAGGACATGTTTTTTTGTGTAATTCTTGTTGTACAGACCTTTTGTGATGAAAAGCGACAGATTTCCTAAAATTCACCTAATACCAGTGTTATTTTAAGAAACATAATACACAAAATAGTTAAAAACTCTTTGGAGACCTGTTTTATTGCATGTGCAAATCCCATCCTTAACTACCAAAATTATTTTCTATTATTCTATAAATATATATTATTAACTATAATGTTAAGATTCAAAAATAAAATTATATCTCTCAATATGTTTTGAAATCATCTCTTAATAAATAATATTATATTTTGTTATGTTTAACTACCTTTATTGATCATAATTTGCACGAAAATATATCATACATGTATTACTGAATAATAAATTTACTGGTGCAACTCGACATTTTATATCAAAATCAAACGAATTTTTTATTGATTGTTAAAGTCACTAAAAAAATTTAATCTAATTTATGATACAATCATGATGTAACGCAAGGACATGCTTCGATAAATGAGACATTAAGTTCACTTAACTACACTGACAAATTTCTCTTCCTAGTTTTAAAGGACAAACGGAAACTCTTATCTGGAAAATTGCACGTATGGTAAGTTATATTTTATAATGTTTGATGTCATATTAGTATTTACATAATTTCTGATCAGCAAAACAAAATATGTGTTTCAAAATATTTTTATTATATATTTTAAATTTTCAAACGTAATGTCACTTTTCTGTGTTTTAAACTAATTTTTCTCAATTCGTTGCTGTTAACATTTCAGAGATAATCAAATATTAGAAATATGTTTTCATCTTTCATTTTGTTATCAATTTGATTTTACGGAAATAAAGCTGTTTTAGTTAGAATATATCAATATTTCAATTAATAATTATGATACTAAATTATTAGTTTTATTTTTATTGATGCATTTATTTACATATTTATTTTTTTGTGGAGTGTTTGCTTTTATACTGTTTGTTTGTTTACTTGATTCTTTTTGTTTGTTGACTGTTGTTCGGTTTTTTATTTCGCCATTCAGAACATTATTATACAATTTGTGTTTCAATATTTTCAATAATAAAGCTAAGATGGATTACAAGGAAATGTTAAGGGTTAAAACAACAGATAACGCACTTGTAGAACTAGCACGGGCCGAGGTAAATGAACACCCTGAAAGAAGACAACAAGACATACTTACACTTAGAAACAGAATTCAGTTGCACCCAGGTTGGTTTATTTATTGATATCGTTTAACTTTTAAATGCCCTTGACTATATTATGTAAGACATTCAATACATTTAACGCATTATATAGTCCAAACAATTAGTAACTGTAGAGAACAAAGATATATAATATAATAAAATATATTGAGAGAAAAGTGTTTCTCCAGCTTTCCTCCTTTCAATTAAGAACAGGGCATTCGAATGTAAGGGAATAGATAATTTGGAAATCCAGACAGATTGTGCGGCTTAGCGGCATAAAAATAAATAGAAATGACTCTTAATTGATATCTAAGTAATAGTTTTAGTATATGAAACGAGTTTGTTACGAGGATATAAAACTTGCTTAGGCGAATCGAAGGATGTTTCTGCAAAGATTTTCTATTTGCAGAGACATAACGAGATGTCGCCAAGCCAGGGTAATACACCCGAGTTCATATTTTTGTTACATAAATAAAAGAAAAAATAATACGTTCATTCCCTCTCTTTTGTTCTTTCCTTGTTGTATCAAATGTTAACCCTAGACAAAATTAAACTATGTCAGAGAATTCATCTATGTTGTTTTTGCTACTGGGAATGTGTGATACCCTTTTTAATTTTACTGTCAAGAAATGTCATCGGCACTCCAATTATAAGCTTATTTATTCTCTTTATGAAGCAAAGGACTGCAAGCTCTGTGGTATTTTCTGATATTTGCAATCTTAATCGACTGTATATACGTATGTATTTTCCTGTATAAGTTTATTATCCCCCGCCGATTGAATCGGGAGGGGGATATTGTTTTGGAGTTGTCCGTCCGTCCATTCGTCCGTCCGAATTTCGTTTCGTTGCTAGTTCTCTGCAACTACTGGCTGGAATTCAATGAAACTTAATGGGAATCATCAATATCAAGAGGAGATGCGCATATCGTCGGCTTGTTTCAGTCAGATCTTTTAGTTATGGCCATTGATTAGTTATGCATTATGCATATAGAGGAAAAATCGTTTCCGCGCTACTTCTCTGCAACTTTTGTCTGGAATTCAACGAAACATTATGGGAACCCTCAATACCAAGAGGAGATGTGCATAACGTCGCCTTGTTCCGGTCAGAAACTTCAACTCAGAGTTATGACCCTTGATTAATTATGCAGTATGCATATAGAGCAATAATCGTTTCCGCGCTTCTTCTCTGCAACTTCTAGCCGGACTTTATGGGAATCATCAATATCAAAAGGAAATGCGCATATTGCCGGCTTGTTCTGGTAAGACCCTTGAACTCAGAGTAATGGCCTTTGATTAGTCATGCATTATGCATATAGAAGAAAAATCGTTTCCGCGCTACTTCTCTGCAACTTTTGTTTTGAATTCAATTCAACGAAACTTTATGGGAACCCTCAATACCAAGAGGAGATGCGCATATCGTTGCCTTGTTCCGGTCAGACAGTATACCTTAGAGTTATGGCCCTTGGTTAGTTATGCAGTATGTATAAAGAGCAATAATCGTTTCCGTGCTACTTCTCTGCAACTTCTGGCTGGAATTCAACGAAACTTTATAGGAACCCTCAACAGCGACAGGAGATGCGAATATCGTCAGCTTGTTCCGGTCAGACACTTAAACTCACAGTTATGGCCTTGATTAGTTATGCCGTATGCATATAAGCAATATTTGTTTCCGCACTACTTCTCTGCAGCTACTGGCAGGAATTCAACGAAACTTTATGGGAAACATTAATACCAAGAGGAGATGTCCAAGAGGAGAGGTGCATAACGTCGCCTTGTTCCGGTCAGACACTTCAACGCAGAGTTATGACCCTTGATTAATTATGCAGTATGCATATAGAGCAATAATCGTTTCCGCGCTTCTTCTCTGCAACTTCTAGCCGGAATTCAACGAAACTGTATCGGAATCATCAATATCAAAAGGAAATGCGCATATCGTCGGCTTGTTCTGGTAAGACCCTTGAACTCAGAGTAATGGCCTTTGATTAGTTATGCAGTATGCATATAGAGCAATAATCATTTCCGCGTTCTTCTCTGCAACTACTGGCTGGAATTAAACGAAACTTTATGGCAACCTTCAATACCAAGAGAAAATGCCCATAACAACGCCTTGTTTCGGTCAGACAGTTTAACTCAGAGTTATGGCCCTTGATTAGTTATGCAGTATGCATATAGGGCAAACTTTTTGATACATTCAATACCAAGAGGCAATGCACATATTATTGCCTTGTTCTGGTCAGACACTAACCTTGATTAGTTATGCAGTATGTATATAGAGCAATAATTGTTTCAACGCTACTTATCTGTAACTACTGGCTGGAATTCCAAAATTTTATGGGAGCCATTAATACCAAGATGAGATGTGCATAATTTGTTGTTCAGCCTTGTTCAGACCAGACCCTTCATTACAGAGTTATGGCCCTTGATTAGTTATGTAGTATGCATTTAGAGCAATATTGCTATTTCTTTGTAAGTGCTGTATTGATTTCAACAAAACTTAATGGGAACCATAGATACAAAAAGGCAATTTACATCGCATTGCCATGTCCAGATATTACTATTTAACATCGAGTTAATTAAGGCTCTGTTATTGCCCTGAATATGTATTATGTACAAAGAATATTACTGTTTACGTCATAATAAATATACAAATAAAGCCTTGTGTCTTGTGTTAGTAATAACCAGTAATCGGCGGGGGATATAAATTCAACGAATTTGCTTGTTTTTGTATACTATAATTTATCTTAAAGGGCACCCAGATGCAGCGACTGCGTTTAGATTTTAACTATAACAGTTTGGGTTTGATACATATGGAATTTTCCATGAGTAAAAATGCATCAAAAATCATCTATGTTCATTTTTAATGACAGCCACACTTTATCCTTGCATATCGTGGCTATTTCCTTTAAAAAAAAAACAAACAAAAAAAAAACACAGTTTTCACTTAGAAAAAAATAGTGACTTCGACTGGGATTTGGAACCCCAGACCTCTCACACCCTAAACGAGCGCGACCCCTGCACCAGGGAAAAGTTATACGAAGAAAGCCTGAATAAAATCAAATAATTCTAAATTTGGAATTTCCATTTCGGGTTTGTAATCCTTATTAATTTCGAGGTATTTTGTTTACGATCAACCGGTTGTTTAACGATGATGTAAATAATTTATCGCAAATCTTCTCGCCAAAACAGCCCGACATGTATATATTCCACTACTCGACAGTCAGATTTATTTGTGAAATACGCTCTGAAGTATTCGGTAATTGACATCGCTAAAAATAGCATTTTCATTGATTAAAATAATATTCATTCGCGTAATTTGTGATTTTGCATTTTTTGACAATTCTATAAGCCAACGCTACTTTCAAACATTGAATGCGTTGTAATTTGTTGGATACTTGTAACAAAACAAAAATATTTCTTTCTTTTACATCGCTAGTTCTAGTCTGTTTTGAGAATTAATTGTTTTTAGGTTTGTCGTGAAATTCAGTGTCAGCATTGTATTTCCTGATCTGCAATCAGAAAATAAAAAAATTGAAACAGTTAAGGCCGCTTGCCATATAATACATTCCGAGCCGTTGTTGTCAGTGACTTTTAATGTCCGTCAATGCCTTTTTTTATTTTTATCTTTTTAAAGGACCAGATTTCATAAATTCCATAACCATTTTATTGTTTTTATTGACGTATTCTTATTCATGAAAGACGTGTTGCTTCACGGTGATATTTTAAAGATCCTGTAACACAATTTTTTTCTATAAATTCTTAGTCAAATTTCCAATAAGAAATGAATGCTTGTATTGATTAAATATAATGTGCACACATATTTGCCGTACACATTTTACATATTCCTGGATGTTTGAAAATTTATTTGCATAATTATATACATATATATTTTTTGCAAGTGTGGTATACACACAGTAACAATATAAATGATCTTTAATGGCATTGAGGAACAAAGAACATTTTTAGCTCACCTGACCACGAAGTGGTCAAGGTGAGGTATAGTGATGGGGCTATGTCCGGCGTCCGTCGTCGTGCGTCGTCAACAATTGGGTTGTTAACAGTCTAGCAGTCACAGTTTTGATTGGATCATCATCAAACTTTGTCAGAACGTTTGTCTCAATGAAATACAGATCGAGTTCGAAGATGGGTTATCTCGGGTCAAAAACTAGGTCGCAGGAGCTAAAAATAGAAAAACCTTGTTAACACTCTAGAGGCTGCAGTTTTCATCCAAATATTCGGAAATTTGTCAGGAAGGTTGTTTTAATGATATCTAGGTCAAGTTCGAAGATGGGTCATCTCAGGTCAAAAACTAGGTCACAGGAGCTAAAAAAAGAAAAAGCTTGTTAACACTCTGTAGACTGCAGTTTTCATCCAAATATTCTGGAAATTTGTCAGGAAGGTTGATTTGATGATATCTAGGTCAAGTTTGAAGATGGATCATGTCCGGTCAAAAAACTAGGTCACAGGAGCTAAAAGTAGAAAAAGCTTGTTAACACTCTAGTGGCTGCAGATTTCATCTAAATATTTTGAAAATTTGTCAGGAAAATTAATTTGATGATCTAAAGGTCAAGTTTGAAGATGGGTCATCTCCGGTCAAAAACAAGGTCACAGGAGCTAAAAATAGAAAAACATTGGTAACACTCTAGTGGCTGCAGTTTTCATCCAAATATTCTGAAAATTTGTCAGGAAGGTTGTTTTGATGATATCTAGGTCATATTGGAAAATGGGTCATGTCCGGTCAAAAACTAGGTCACAGGAGCTAAAAATAGAAAAAGCTTAGTAACAATCTAGTGGCTGCTGTTTTCATCTAAATATTCTGGAAATTTGTCAAGAATGTTGTTTTGATCTAAATCAAGTTCGAAGATGGGTCATGTCCGGTCAAAACTAGGTCACAGGTGCTAAAAATAATAAAAGCTTGTTAACACTCTAGGGGCTGCAGTTTTCATCCAAATATTTTGGAAATTTGTCAGGAAGGTTGTTTTGATGTTTTTTAGGTCAAGTTTGAAGATGGGTTATCTCCGGTCAAAAACTAGGTCACAGGAGCTAAAAATAGAAAAAGCTTGTTAACACTCTAGTGGCTGCAGTTTTGATTAAAATATTCTGGAAATTTGTCAGGAAGGTTGTTTTAATGATTTCTAGGTCAAGTTCGAAGATGGGTCATGTCTGGTCGAAAACTAGGTCACAGGAGCTAAAAAAAGAAAAAGCTTGTTAACACTCTAATGGCTGCAGTTTTCGTCTAAATATTCTGGAAATTTGTCAAGAAGGTTGTTTTGATGATATCTAAGTCAAGTTGGAAGATGGGTCATCTCCGGTCAAAAACTAGGTCACAGGAGCTAAAAATAGAAAAGCTTGTTAACACATTAGGGGCTGCAGTTTTCATCCAAATATTTTTGAAATTTGTCAGGAAGGTTGTTTTGATGATTTCTAGGTCAAGTTCAAAGATGGGTTATCTCCAGTCAAAAAACTAGGTCACAGGAGCTAAAAATAGAAAAAGCTTGTTAACACTCTAGTAGCTGCAGTTTTGATTCAAATATTCTGGATATTTGTCAGGAAAATTGTTTTGATGATGTCTAGATCAAGTTCGAAGATTGGTAATCTCAGGTCAAAAACTAGGTCACAGGAGCTAAAAATAGAAAAAGCTTGTTTACACTCTAGTGGCTGCAGTTTTGATTCAAATATTCTGGAAATTTGTCAAGAATGTTGTTTTGATGTTTTCTGGGTCAAGTGCTAAGATTGGTCATGTCCGGTCAAAAACTAGGTCACAGGAGCTAAAAATAGAAAAATCTTTTTAACACTCTAGTGGCTGCAGTTTTGATCAAAATTTCCTGAAAATTGGTCAGGAAGGTTGTTTTGATGAGTTCTAGGTCAAGTTTGAATATGGGTCGTGTCCGGTCAAAAATTAGGTCACATTGCCCAAATATGGAAAAATCTTTATAACACACTAGAGGTCACATGTTTGACTCAGTCGCATCAAACTTGGTCATGATGCTTGTTTAAGACATTGCTTGGATGCGGTTGTGTCAGGTGAGCGATCCAGGGCCATCATGGCCCTCTTGTTTAAATTCTTACTGAATTTACATACTGCTCAATGGAAATGTATGATATCACTTTGTTAGGATAATAAATCTTGTCATATTTTACTGCCAACAAAATTACTAGTCCTCTGCTCGCCAATACGATATTTTTCTGCTCGAAAATACGATAATTTTTTCGGGTGACGAGGGTAAACGAACCTTAACACACATAACACTTATCCTAAAACAATATCTGTAAATGCCGAGTAAGGAGTTCCATGTGTGAAAACTACACATTCCTGTAATGTGCGTTGACATTACACAGGCATTACCGAACCTATATTCTTGTAAATGTTTCATGCGATATATCTTTCAAAATGTTCCATATCATTATGGAAACAACAATAAAAATTGTATGAAAAATATTTCATTGGATATAGTTTTAAAACCCTTAAACTTACAAACAGGTTTATCCAATTAGGTTTACTGAATTGTGCTTTAATTCATTGGATAAGCTATCGTACATAATCATGATAAGGACTTGTATCATAGTTTGGATACCCATTTCTTGTTACCTGCACTCAAGTTAAAGCTTTGTCTTTCTGATGTTCGTTGATTGTCTAAATTTTGTATCTGTGGTTTACCTAAAAAGAAGATAATGATAGAAAAATCCCTTTCAGATGATCCTATATTGGCTCATTTATTCTAGGGTTTCATTTGTGACGACAAGGAAAGTTTTTTTTGTTTTTTTTTGATTTTTGCATATGTTACAAACGAGAAAAAGTAGTAAAACATTCGGCAACCTGATATCCTCGTACTTAAGATATTACTAAAGGCTTTCGGTTTTATAAATTACATAAACACGTGACAGTATTCGTCTATGCTTATATAATATTATTAAGGCCGGGGTTTAGAATCAAGCAGTATTTAAGAAATAAAATTCGAAGACGCCGACAGGATAATCCGTGTATTGTTTGTATTTTTTTATTACTTAATCCTAATTTTGATTATGATTTCAATTTCAAATTATACAATGATTATTTTTCCAACTGTAGTTCGTCATAGGCTTTTTGCCATTGCTCTACAAAATCATTAAATTTTTAATTTAAATTAGATTTCTTACACTTAAAACGGAATGATATGAAATCGATAAAACATATTGAAATTGAAAATCGTATTTTGTGGGATTCATAACACGGTTTGTTTTAAGAGATGTTTATTCTGGAAAATAATTTCATTTGTTACAAACCTATATCAGATGGCACATGCACCTGGACAACAATTATGTCCAGCCCTTTTTATCATACTCAAACTATCTCTGTGAAGTCCCTTTAAGTTAACAATGCAAAACATTATGATTATCTGCAAATAATGCTTTCATATTTTGTTTCTCGAGACTTTCTGAACAGAATTGCACAAACCCTTTGTTATCTCATAACATGCTTATCTAAACACTTGAGCAGTTAGTTAGGGTGCACATTTATAAAACGGTGATTTTAATATCAAAGCACGTTTTTGGACAAGGGCATACCGCTGAAAGACACATAGAATTTTGTAAATTATATGAAATAATTATACTATACACTATATCATACCTAAATAAAGAAAATAAGAATTCCTAAATTAGTCCAAAACGTCCAAAACAGGCTCGGTTTGATTGAGCCGGTTCATGGACGGTACAGTAAAGTGCAAACTACCGTCCGCGCCCAAAGCACAGGCTTTAGCAGAATTCAACAATTAAACATGAAAATGGCAAAATTTTGAATTAAGTAACATCCGCAGATGTGTTCATACGGCGGTTACCATGTCACCTTCAATGTGACACTTTCGTGTCATTCCATAAAAAGCGGTGTATGGTCCCCAAGTACCTAAACAAGAAAACAATAGGCGGAACTAAATAATATGGAATTTTGAAAGGGGACCAGAGGTTATGAAGCATACATATCACAGATTGAACGTCAAAAGACAAATTTAAAAAGCAGGCCACACATCCTAGGGTTGTTTCAACATTATTTAAGTAGGAATAATGAAACCATTTAACTCTAAAAAAATGCCGGAAAGTAAAAACTTAAAGTACCACAAACACAACAATAATGTCGTGCCGAACGATCTTTAAAGATTGGAAATATAACATCTCTGATTGCATGTACGGGGCTACTTTTTTCAGCCTCCACACTGCACAAACAACGCCGATGTGGCGACAAAATAGAGAATAAAATCATTAAAGAAAGTCTAAAATGGCAATATTGAAAATGTTGCAGGCTCGGTAAAATTAAATGCTCTTTACCAACATACCAACATAAGATTTGTAGAAAAACAAAAACTTTTTATTCAAATATTCATTCGTATCAAATGATTTTTGTCGGTAATTCTTATAAGACTAAATTTTCTAAAAATAAAACGATGTTTTCCTTTAGTTCTTGTAAAAGTTACGACTGAAGGATGTATTGTGGCTTTTTATTATGTTAGCGTTTTTGTAATGGTTTTCTGATATAAATACCATCGCTTTAAGTCCAAATTAAACTTCAAAATTTACAAACGGTTTAGAAATAAAGAAGGGTGAAGGTGACAAAGCTGGTATTTCTGGAAGGAAGTCATTTATAAATCAACTAGTCTCATAAACATATATTAACCTATGGTGTAATGTTATCTTTTGATGCCACTTTGATACTTCAGAAACGGCAAGTAACTTAAAAAGCAGCATAACTCTGTGATGCATGTATAACATTATGTCTGGACTTATCTCCCTTGCAATTAATTTGTTGAATGAAAGTAATACGTTATGTAATTAATTATCCTTTTCCCTGTCGCCACAATAAGTTAACCTAAGAAGAACTATAGACAACCTACAAACATATCCCACTGTCTTCTCGACAAACAGTGCGGTGACAGGAGTGCAGGTAAGTAATACATTCATTCCAGTGAAAGCACTGTGCATTTATAGGTATACCATTGAACTCCATTTTTTATGGATATGATACAAATACATTTTTGATAATTATTCCCTCTTTGGACAAAAATGCCTTAATTTTAACATGGTTCTTTCATAGAAATCATGGCAAGTATTTACATTTAGTCACTACAACTATTTTTTAATTTAAAATATCATGTTTATTTGGTTCAAATTCCATGAAGTAGAAATAAGATGTAAACAAAATGTATAAAATAATATTTTAGGACCGTGTCATTCTTTCAGAGTTGAAAATCCAAACAGATGATGCGTATCTCTTACGCTTTTTAAGAGCCTCCTGCTTTGACCACGAGAATGCATTTACTCTTATTCATAAATATTTCGAGATGAAAGCAGACGAGAGAAACAAACAACTGTTCAGCAATATGCGACCTAGTTCCATTAAGCACGTGCTTGAAGCAGGTGTAACGGGAGAATATTATCATCGTGATAAACTTGGCAGAAGAGTAATAGTTATAAGACCAGGTCAGACAAATTTACTAAAATGAATACCTTCATTACGTTCAGTTTTTGTTGTCTTTGCTTGTATTTTATCGCCTAGAAAGTTAAGCAGTTGATCTAATGGATGAAAAGTGATGAATGAGGAAACAGGTTTGCAATGATGGAATTGTGTTTCGCGTTAATCTTGTCGTAATGAGTGTCCTTCGGTATATGACTATAAGTTATAAGTGAATGTAACTTGCGCTCAACTCAAAGACATTTTCAGATTCTTTACTAATATCGTTGTTTGATAAAAGATGTCATTTGTTATTAAACTTACTTGAACATGTACACGAAACTATCATTGACATTAACCTTATTAACACATATGTATCAATATGTTTGGTGAAGTTATGTCAGGTTGCTTAGAAACACGTTTAGAAGACCACAAATGCCTCATATTTGCGCTTTATAGTATATATAAACGAGTATTCCAGTAGAAACACCATTCTTGTTTGTAGCTATCGAGTAAGTGTTTTTTCTATATAAATGATTATATGATAAATATGTATATCTCATGATAAGCGGTTTATTTTAATTGCTTTGATCGATATTATTTATTTCAGGGAAATGGGATACCAGTAAATTTTCAATTACAGACATTTTCAAAACTAACTTCATGACACTCTTCAAGTTCGTTGAGGTTAGAAATAATACACTAAAAGAATTAATAAGATAAGAAAAGTTATAATACAACGATTGAAAGAATCAGATAAGAAAAACTATTGTATACCTATAGAAATAACCAGATAAGAAACGTTTTAATACATTTTCTGTATAGAAAGACTCACATAATTATTTTAAAGAAATGTTCTAATACATTTATAGAAAGAACCAGATAAAAAAGTTTTAATACATCCACAAAATGTACTGTATAGAAAAAATCACATATTATAAAGAAATGTTTTTTATACATTTATAGAAATAACCAGATAAAAATGTTTTAATACATCTACTGTATAGAAATAATCACATATTATAAAGAAATGTTTCAATACGTTTATAGAAAGAGCCAGATATGAAAAGTTTTGATACACCATTAGAAGAAGCAAGATAAGAAATATCTTTTTTTTTATTATTTTTGATACAAAGCATCCAGGATGTTGCATAAACAGAAATGCAGGCGATCTGCTTTATTTCGAAAAATGTAATTAATAGAATATTAAATAGTTCGCATAAAATGCTATTGTTTGTGTACTTGTTTGTTTGTGTTTGATTTCCATATACTAACATTTTATTTTATCCTTTATAATAATGAGAATAATTTTTACCTTTAGGAAGAAGAGACGCAGATAAAAGGTGTTGTCGCGCTGTTTGACATGAATGGTGTAGGATTTGGTCAGATGACTCATCTTTCTCCATTCTTTGCAAAACGTATCACGGCTTTATTACAAGTATGTATGGAATATTTCACATGTCATGAACGAACATTAACCAAGAATCTAATTTGTTTTTACAATATTTCTGTTACGTTAAAAGTCAGGAAACGTTATATGAGTTAAAAACTAGGATATGTGACATAATCTTAACAATGCAACTACTTTGTTTGTTTTGGGTTAACAGTACATTTACAAATTACTGGCCATACCGCGCCGAAGTTTACAATGCAACACTCGAGCCACAAAGTATTACTATTGATGAATTTCTCATTTTTAGCATTATTTTGATAGCCAAATATGTCCAATCACGACACTGATTTAAAATGAGTATTTTTTCATTATTAAAAGAGATATTTCTTGATGACCTATCACTAGAACAGTATTGGAATAACTCAGAACGCAAACTTTTAAGCCAGACGATGACAAGTTGTTTTTTTCTTTCGAGAACATCAGATTTTATCTTTATATTAGAATATGTACAGTAAATATTTAATTGACTATTTTCAGGAGAGTTTTCCAATGAGATTGAAAGCTATGCACTTCGTTAACGAGCCTGCAGTTTTTGATTATTTATTTGCTATTCTCAAACAGTTTATGAGCAAAGAAACGATTGATAAGGTTAGTGATGTAGTTTGTCTTTTAAATTTAGATGACATTCTTAAAAACTACCCTTGAATAAATCAGCAGATTTTTATACATTTAACAATATTGTTTCTTAAAACACATATAAATAAATTTATAAATAAAAAAAACGCGTTTAAGAAAATATATATTCTATTGTTGTTGTTGGTGGTTTTATTTTTCAAGTAGTAAAAAAACTGATAAGGATATCATTATAATAATATTTCATATATATTAGAGATACATCTTTTTAATTTTAGATAAAGGTACATGGACACAACCTGGAAGAATTAGCTGAATATTTTGATGTAGAACTTTTACCAGAGGAATACGGAGGGAAAGGCCAAAAGTACTCCAATGAGGTATTTACCACGGTGACTGTAAATTATATGATAATAGTATTGTACTTATAAAAATACTAAGTATTATGATACATATTTCGTATAGTGTTTAAAATGCTACTGTTGGTGTTGATTTGGTGTTTTATTCATTATTTGACAATTTTGATGAACTAATAGCCTCTTAGTTAAAATTATTTTTGATATTAAGTTTTGTAATTATGAAATCTTTCTTTTATTTTACGTACGATTGTCTTTAATCTCCTTTATATTAAATCATGTGTTGATATTCAGCTCTTGATATAACGAAATTACTGGTCAATTTCTTTACAGCGATGGATGAAGACTCTTTTGGCTTGTGACGCAGAGTTTGATGCTGAAGCACGAAATAGCCTTGTTAAGGTTCCTGCAAAAGATGCCACAGGAACATACAGGAAAATAGATTCTTAGATCGTCACTTAGCTTATGAACTATACCTTAAAATTCAATTAACTATTATAAAGAACATTTCTTCAAAGAACATTTGATTTACGTTATCCTTAGTGCGTATTTTTGTCATAGGTATTGTGTATCTTCGTTAAATATCATGTAGTTAAGCAAGTTTTTTTCTACTTAATAGACTCTGAAAAAAATGGGTTTTTTCAAGCTTATCCGGGATAAGAAAGAAACGTTTTCAATTTCGAAAATCGAATAATTTAATGAAGTTGACTTATTTATTGTGAATGGTCGTGCATGGTGAAGCTTTGAACAAAAAGACCGGTAGGGACATTTCAACTTCATGAACTCTCGATTTATCTTCGTGAATTCACGATTTCAACTTGATGAATTTATGATTTCAACCTCTTGAATTCACGATTTCAACTTCACGAATTAAACTAAGCGAATTTACGTTTTGAACATATTATATTCAAAAGTAAAATATGTCTCTTTTATAAGACAGACTATATATTTAAGAAAACTTTAGCTAACATCTTAAACTTATTATATTCTTACATAAGATTCATATTTTACAAGGTGAATTATGTTAAAAGGGAGTTAAGGTAATTTTACATTTAAACTTTCCAGTTCTAAAATTTATTCATCATTTATATATTCATATTCGGATTCGAGAATGTTTCAATAAGCTAAATATAGCTTCCAACACAATCGAGCTAAAATAAATTTGTATAAACATTACACAAGCGTCAGCCTCGATTTCAATTAAAGCGATCCTTTTTGTAAATACAAGCATGATCGTTAATTGAAAATCGCGATAATTTTTCGTGTTCTCAAATGTTACAGATGTTCAGAGATGATTGTTAAGGGATAACCTAAATAAATTTAGTTAATATAAAACATGAAAATTAATATGTTATTGTTTTTCTTTAGTTTACTTAAAATACCATAGAAAAGATCTAAAGAACATAGAATACCATAGAACGCAACAATATTAAGGTAAAATATTGTTTGAAGCATTGGTTTAGCTTGGAAAACATGCATTTGCCGAGATTAGGATAACATCTTTAAAAAATTATTGATATGTTATGTTTTAAACAAAATAAATAACATGTTGACGTGTTGTACTTCTCCATGTATCTATTATTTTGATGTTATATTTTAGTTAGTTTGGCGTCAAGTACGACTATATGTATATGTACAATTATGATTCGGAAAATGTCGGGATGGTGCTGTTTGTTTAAGGCTTATTAAAACGTATAAGCTAGCAAACTCAAAGTTTATGGATTATCCGAAATGACTGAGATCTCTCGTGTTTTTATTAAAGAAAAGATCTAGTGCCTGCCAGTCTGCTGATGACTGTATTTAAGTGTTTGTCACTTCATATGTAAAATGTAGGAGATTATTTCCAAAGATCGGTTATCTGAAACTATCAACTAGAAAACGCATGGACAGCATAATTTAGCAAAGCATAGTCTAGTCGAATAAAAGTACGATTCATTATGTTACACGACAATAAATCCTTAAAATAGTTTTTTCAATCTATCATAAACTCAGAGGCAGTTCTGTCCTGAAATAGGTAGTCATGTCGCCAGCAGATAGTTCTATGTAAAAGAGGAACAAAAATGATATGGGCAACGAATATGCAGTATGAGTCACGAAAATAGGTCTTCTTTTATTTATGCGCGAGTTTTCTAGAGTCACGAAAAACTATTGATTTGTTAATAATAATGTTTTGTATAATGTAGAAATATTTATTTCCTACTAATGATCTTTGGAACTCAGAGCTTACACCTTTATTATAGTATAATTTGCTGTCCTACTTTTTCGACAGCGGTAAATCGTTACGGCAGTACTTTGCATATTGCGCAATGATACTACGGGACTACAACGTTTTTATCAATCATATACGTTCATATTTTAACTTAGTTAACTTAATTTGAAATTGAAAAGGCTAAATATGGAAGTTTTAAAGGATCAAATTCATGTACTATTTCTTGGGCTGTTAATCGGTTGAGGACACTTTGCGCGATTGTAGCCGACGAAATCCCATGTGAAGATGACTTAACTCTGAACGCGCCTGAGGGCGCATCCGTCGCAAAAAGCTTTCGGTGAAAAAGACCTTTCGGATGTTGGTACAACGAGTATAATTATGAAGAAAGAAATCAACTTTTTGATAATGTTTATGCTATATTAGCAGTTATTCCTGATTCTCTTTTTCTCTACTTCAAGATGACTAACTGTAGTAAGATGTACAAATGTGAACACTGTGTACAAACTGAAACTTAACATTTCAAATGTTCACACAGAATAACTTAACAGTAGCACGGTATGTAAACATTGCTTTAAACACTTTGGCAGCATAGAGTTTAAAGTGTCACATAGTGAGAATAAAAATATGAATAACACAGTTGTGACACGAAGTTGTCATAAAACTTTTGGTGTTCTTGTTTTTAAAGGTGTCCGAGAAGATTTTGCTGCCCATGGAATTCCCATTTTAGCTAACGTATTATTTTCTTCATTGTTTCCAAATAGTCAGAAAGTAATGTTTCTTTTTTCCTTTAAAGACATTGAAAATGCAGTCACGCGGTTTGGTGCTTATAATGCAAGCATCGTAAAACATAACGCAGTATTGTGCAATCCTATGGCCGAAACGAGCACCACGGAAAGGAAATGAACCAATATCTTTAATTTACATCAAACTGAAAGAGGTGAATTACGGTTGCGGATACATTATACTTTAAACCTCATCAAAACATTTCCCTGGCAATTTATTTCAAGATCATTCCTATAAATTTCGACCTGACATTTAAGTTTCGTCGTATCTTAAATAAAAATGTAGTACATATTACATTATGGACTTTGATATTCTGTGTACCCGGCACATATGGAAAACTTGATATACACGATGCAAATGCTTCAACTGAAACAGAAAAAAGCTACTATGTTTATGGTATGTAAATTCTGTACATAATGTTAAAATCTTAACAGGTGGCAACACGTTTTAATGTTGCATGATGAACAATTACACGGCTGGTCCGAATTGTAGGAAAACTTTTCGTAGATAGTCACGTTCAGGTGCGTATCGTTTGACAGGAAAAATTCCTACGTCAATTTTCATTTCAATGACAGAGATTGGCGGCAAAAACAACTTCCTAAAGACATAAACGTTACTCACATGACTTTTCCTCAGTTAAGGTGTAAGAAAACGTGAAACAAAATTGGCCAATTGACGGCGGCTGGAACAGGACTCCACGTAACCTTCTACGAAACTAGGGTGGTATATTAAAAGGAGATGGACAATTGTTATAGTCAGTGGTGAAATCCGCATACGATATGTAAATGAAACGTTAATGACTATGCTTAAGATGACTTCCTAGTATAATATATTGTTATCTGAAACGTAATAAGTGATAAAACAGTATACGCCAGGTGTAGGCTGCAAAAAAAGTGCTCTGTGAACTTTTAATTATTTCAACAAGAAATACTTAAAAGATTCCCCTGAAATTTGTCATACGTGTTGATTAATGTGTAATTATTGAATATTTATACTTTTGAAATTTCAGAAATGTGTATCTTGGCTAAGGCGAATTTAGTTGATCAGTGTTTACCAGGGATTATCCAATATAATAGGTGTATCCTACATAATATTAGGCAATTATCACCAGCCAAACTTGATCCTTGTGTACTAGAAACATTGAAATAGCAAGACATACTTTAGCAATACATGGGGTATTAGAGGGCGTCGTGTCATTGAAAGACGAATATTGGACATAAATGATGGAGTTCACCTTCATAATATTAGAACTTTGCCTCAGAATGAATCAACAAGAATAACAAAATTTGAACATAGACATAATCCCAATATGGACAGTGTTTATCCTGACAATTTCAGAAAGATCACATTTGAACCATTGTCTGTTTGTAAAGGGAAACTAAGATTAAAGTATTTTGTCACAATTCAAGATCAGTGAAAAATAAGAGTTTGGCCTTTTCTGATTACATCATATCCAATAATTTTAACATCATCGCTGTTACAGAAACGTGGCTTGGTGGACCTAGAGACGCATCGTGTATTGCCGAATTAGTACCTAGTGGATACAAAATTGCCCATGTTCTTCGCCAAGGTCGTGGTGGTAGAGTAGCGGTTATTTACAAGGCACCCTTAAAACTTACTATGCTTGCATCTAGTCGCAATACTAATGTTACCTCGTTTGAATATATGGACTGCAACATCACTGTAAAAAAAACTTTTCTCTACGATTAGCTGTGGTATATAGCCGCCTCCGAACAAACACAACGGCTTTAAGACTAGTACATTTCTTGATGATGAATGGCCGACATTTCTTGCAAACTTTACAACTGCTGAGAACGATATTATTGTGGTGGGCGATGCTTATTTTCACCTAGACAATCTTTCAAACCCTAACACCGCAAAATTCAAAAGTGTCTTAGAAGCGTGTGGCATGCGACAACACGTCACTGAACCAACTCATGTAGCAGGCCACATACAAGATGTGCTCATTACCAGAGATACAGACTGAACGGTATCAAATGTAGAAATATCTGATCCTGGACTCCCAGTCAATAATGGAAACACGCCTCGTGATCACTTCGCTGTTGTATTTAATGCTAGTGTGTCAAAACCACCACCAGTACGAAAACCTGTTACTTACAGAAAATTAAAATCAATTGATGTTAATGAGTTTAAAACAGATATTTTGACATCAGATATTTTAAAAGTGTTAAAGAAAGCTCCAATTTTGATATACTAGTTGTTGCCTACAACAACGGCCTTTCTCTCCTTCTTGACAAACACGCACCCCTTATGTCCAAGATTATTGTTCTAAGACCAATGAATCCGTGATATTCCCAAGAACTACATGATGCTTAACATTTTAGACGTCAGTTAGAGCGAAAATGGCGCTTGGCTGGATTGAAAATTGATCACTTAATTTAAAGAAACCAATGAGCTGTTACGATTAGGCTTCTAAATATGCCAAAAGTCAAATATTACACTGAGAAAGAAGAGTCATGTGGTCGTGATATGAAAAACCTTACCAAAGTAACGTGACCCTGCATTTGATGGGTGCAGACACAGATGTTGTGCTGCCATCTGGTACCCCTGCAAACTTTCTAGCACAAGACTTTAGTGACTTCTTTGTGGATAAGGTTTAAGGCATACGGAATGATATAACCAGGACCAAATCTCACCAACAAAACAGACAATGTTGTCCCTGACGCGTCTTTCAATGGAAAGAAATTTTCAAACTTTTCAGTAGTCTCTGATATGGAAATTTCAAAAATTATTCGTAATTCCCCAAACAAACCCTGTGAACTTGACCTAAGTCCAACATGGCTGATGAAAGATTGTTAAAGTGAAATTTTACCATTGATCACAAAAATCATAAACACTTCACTTGAGAGGGCATTTGAACCACCCGCTTTTAAATGTTCTAGAGTCAGACCTTTAATCAAAAAGTCAGGGTTGGATCAAATGAAGCTACTGTTCTAGTAATGTTGGACTTTTGATACGATCGACCATAGGCTTTAAGAAAGCAATGTCTTAATTTAATAAAATACATATATTAATCAATATAATATATTATATAATATTAACTGTCAACATATTAATTGGGAGGGAAAGGTGGGAAATTTTTAATTTATAAAACATGTGATCTCTTAGTCAACGAAATACAGAATGACCTAAATGTCCATGAATTAAATGGACAAACATATTTACCGCCAAAATCAAAAGCGACCTGTAAAAAGATGTTTATTGCTGACGTAAACCATAAACAAAATTCGATTAATGAAAACCCATTGAAAAGGTCAACTTCATTCAACCATATAATTAAGCTATTTTTAAATCAGAATAATTCAAGCTATCAGTTTTCAGTCATATGATCAGA